GAGCAAAAGAGGGGAAGGAATGGCAATGGCAGGTGTGCACAGGGAACAGGCCCCCAGGAGCAGCCCTGGGCTCACACACACGGGAACCAGCAGGCTTAGATCAGAATTCATAAGGATCAAAACTAACAGTTCACATATTTTCCACTTTCCTCCCCAAACCACTTAAAAAAAAATTCATCAAATTTCTTTCTAGATTTATCAGTGAAGTGGTTTACACTTAAATTTTTAATGCTTCCTAAAAAAATAAAATCCTACAGTTTTATGCCCAACGCTACAAGTACATTTATTCTGAATAGCATTTATAAGAAACTGCCCTACAAACACATGCACACTCATCTTGAATAGTCTGGAAAGGCCATAATGGTTGGTTCTTCAACTGGGCTTTGAAGAACAGGAGAAGCTTCTGATTCTCAAAACTGAGGCAGAGGAAAAAGGTTTTCAGGTCAAAGGACTACTATCTAAAAAGACTGGTAAGTGCTGGAACACTGTATGGGGTATAAGACTACAAAGATCCAAGAAGTATGAGAAAAACGGAAAAGAACATTGTTTTCTACTTTGCTGCTATAAATACTTGTTGGGAGCAAGTAGGTTTTTCAAATGTCAACACTATTCAGTCATTGGGTTTCCATACACAGCCAACTTCAGTCTAAGCCATGCGGTTCCTTACTATATGTTATCTCACCTCTTATGAGAATGTCTTACTGCAAATTCAAAAAGACATGCATACCAATAACTCAGATCAGTGTTTTCCAGTCAGTATCCGTAACAGCAGATTCATTTTGAAAGCTCTATAAACAAAAGAGGCTCAAATGTTCTTATCTTTTTCTCCTGCATTTTGAATTTATATAACTGCTGATTCTTAAGTAATAACTATAGTGAAGATGCTACTTTCAAAAAATATTTTATTCTGTCAAGGCTGAGTTACACTCATTTATCACTTCACTTAAAGAAAAAAAAATGATGCTTGTAACAAGAAACCATTTTCCTACATTATAATTAGTCAGCCATGGCTTTGTTCTGTGCTAGAAACCCATCCAGCATGTCTACTGAAAATCACAGGACAGCACAAACTTCACATTTCAAACTGATATGAGTCCGTGAGAGCCTGCTAGGTTTGGGGAATTCTCCCAACAGCTTTACTACCCAAACCAAAAACCAAACTCGGGGGGTATTTTACACTTTTTCCTTTTCTCCTGTCTGGTCATGTCAATGCTCTCTTAGAAGACAGAAATTCCATGCCTTTCTCCCCATATGACTGTCACAGCTCAATTAGTCCCTCTAATCATACTTCCACAGTTCTCTGACCAGTCCCGTTTTGTCTTTACAATTCATCCTCTGTGCTTCCATCAGCATTTTGCAAGACAAAAATCCAACTCACACCATATTCTTGAAACTCTCCCTCACGCTGCAAGCCAGATGTCTTTACCTTCACTCCGGGCCTGCCTACCCGCCCAACCCCTGGTATGACAGGCCTCCTGCTTGAACAGCCCCCACGCTCCTTCCCATTTTCACTGGTTCCTTCCCACCCCCACCAACACCTCTACAGGGCTGTGCCCGATGGCGGCAACGTCCTGTTGCCTCTCAGTTGCAGAATCCTAACTTAAGGCTGGATTCAAATGTCACTAGTTCTAGGAAATTTCTTTGACTACCTCTCCCCATGAAGTTATTTCTCTTCTTAGGCCACTATAGCGTTTGGCGCAGTACTTACCACTGTACCGGATATATTTCACACTGGTCTCCAGAGTTAAGACTGAACATTTCCCAAAGGCAAGATACTACCTTTTATTTCTTTATAAATCTAAACCTACAACAGTATTTGCAGACTAATATATCCACATTAATATCAAGACTGGTTAGCCATCATCCATTACTGACAACAGCCAGCTCTGAAAACCAAAACCCAAAGTAAGGTCGTTCAACAAGAAGAGTCCATACCAGACCACGCTGAGCTTAAGGATGATCTGTCTGTACATGCCATAAGATTAATATTTATTCACAGAATATTTTACTATGCAAATCCACTACTGTTTGGATTGCTGCTTAGCCTGAAAAGGCATTTCAAAGATTTCCAAATGCCTAGTCAAGGAAAATTTGCAGTAAAATATGTGCTAGACTCATTTAAATATGTGTATTTTTTAAATAAATGTGCAAAGATTAGTCTTCACTATCATGAACCAGCTCCTCAGTAGTTACACCCCCTGCTTATGCTGTGCATGACCTTGAAGGGAAGGGGTGCTGTCACCTTTCTAACCCTAGCATACTCCCGGTACTAAATAAAGTTCCTAGAAATGACAACCAATTCATCCATCGAAGATTTGTTGAGTCATATGTAGAAGTGCAATGCACAAGAACTTTCCAAATGACAGAGGCAGAAAGCAAGGTAAAGTTAACTGCGTTCTTAGATACAACATTTGTTGTTTACCACCAATTCATCTCACTGATAAACTATTCAGAGTATGGCCAATACTCACTTTACTTCTATCTTATATAAAATAGACCAAAGTGATTTCCGCAAGACCACCAATGTAAAAGCTGTACTTTTGGTACATGGGTATGGAAGGTAAAAAATGTGTTTCATCCTTGTAAGTGTAGTTACTGCTATTAAATAAACCCGTGTCCTAACGGGAGGTTTTTCTGCCTGATTTCACTCTGTTTCATCCTGAGTCATACAATGCCCAGTACAGAGGTGTAAGTCTTGTTTCTTTGCAGCCAGTTTTAAACATTTGAGAACTACCTACCTAACTGTGAATTATTTCAACTTCCTTTCTTCCTTTCTTTTCTCCTCTGATGTTTAATCACTTTGGGGCCAAATAACTTCATGAGGTAGTCTAACACAAAAACTCAAATCAGGTAATATTGTGAGGGACACCAGCAAGTCTTAGGGCTAGGAAACGGGGTAAAAGCTTAAAACTTAGATACTAGTACATTTAAATTATCCATACTAATTTGCATAATATACTATGGCAGATACCTATGCAAATATTCTAATTTGTTGTTATACAATGGAAAATTGGAAACTGGATATAGTATACCTGAACTGTACATTTCACTTCTTTTTAATTCACAGATGCTATGTACTATGAGTACTAATTTCTGTATCTTCAACATCTATACGATTTTAATGTTAATAGTCCCAACAGGAAGGTCATTAACTTATGAAAATAAATCATTTGGGGGGGGGGGAGGGTTCAAACACCGAATGAGAAGATAGGCACATTTATTTCATAGAAGTCATACTCTGAACCTAAAATGCAAAGCAAAAGATTAATGTGCATGTAATATGTATTCAAGTCTGTAATAGAGAAGAAAAATCATTACAGAATTTAGGTATGAGACTTCTGGTCACCAAAGTTGGTCAGGTGATGGCTTCCATGTTCCCTCTAAAGAGAGGGGACAATGTACATGTGCCTACTGAGCCTTACAGGGTAAAGGGAATAACCCATAGACATCTAAGCTGCTTATGTTCAACTGTGTCAGCCAACAAGAACTCAAATAGAGACTCTCCACATCAACAGTATTTCAGTGCTAATACTGGCAGTTTAATAGTGGTGATAAAAACTACAGTGGTTTATCCTGACCATTTAAAAATACAAAACTCACTAAGTTTAAGGATTGAACATGTAGGAATCTGAGACCAGTCACAGTTTCAGAGAAAAATGTTCAATAGGAAAAAGGATTTCTAATTTTGAATTTCTGGCCCAAATTTACTACATACTCAAAACAAATTACCTATACCTCATCAAGCTATTATAAAAACTGATGCATTACAAGAGCAAGTCCATCTCTTTCTCTAGCACGCCTAATGAGACGAGAAGGCATAGGAAAGATGTGCAGACCGCAGGGACAGGCTCAGGGCTGGGCCACAACCTAGGCCAAAGTGGCTGCAACACAAGAGCACAGGGCTGGAGGAGAGGCCGCCACTGGGGCCTGGTCACAAACCACCTGTTCAGGTTTGAGGTTTTCTCAATCTCCACTACAGCACTCTGAACTTCCTAAGAAAGATGCTTACAAATGCACATAAAAAGACATTAAAAATAAAATTCAGTTATTCAGGTGAAGTACCTGGATTTATATTTAGGGGATAACAAAATGATATTTGACAAAGGATCTATTTATGTTTAACTCAGAAAGGAGGCATAACATGTTAATAAAGTTATAAATTTCAGCCCAGTCTTAAATATTTTTGACTCTATGACTAAGCGTTAATTACAGACACAGCTACCCTACCTAAAAACCCTACCCCACTGATAGCCCTGTACTAATTTTCTAGACCGAAGACTTAAAGCTAACAAACAAAACAAAAACATTTTTAAAAATAAAAAAAAGCAACCATTTACACTCACTAAGAAAAGCAAACATTTACTTCAAATTGCAGTATAGGCTTTTCAGTCACAAAAGGAAAGAAAAGAACAGTGATCTGACAGTGGTCACATCCTGTGCAAAAGCCTTGAGATACAAAAATGGTAACACAAGGTATCTGAGCTGCTTACATTGCAGGAAAAAGTAAATACAGTAGCTGAAATATGGCACTCCTGGGAATCAACTTCTAAACCAAACAGAATGCCTTTGAAATTATTAGATTTATTTGTGTATTAATAAGAAAGTCCCACCACCATAAATAGTACAATATTTAAAATAAAAAAAAATTCCTATCTAAGACAGATAGTGTATTTAGACTGTTAGATCTGTTTAATTGCAGAAGGTGGTTCAGGTTTGGCCTTTTTTAGAATTAAATTAACTTCCCATTTGCTTTATAAAGTTCCACTCAATTTCAAAAACCAATTTAAATCAAGAATATGTTATCAAAGTTGCATAATTTCATTTGGGACTGCCAGCAGGTTAAAGTCTCAAATCAAGTCTTTAACATTAACGCTCATTTTTAGTCAATGAAAAGTTAAAAAGTTCTCAAATCTTCATTATCCTCTTGAACTTGCCCTTCTAAATGATCCTCAGACTGCAATTCCTAGTTTGCAAATAAAAGAATGCAATATGCATCATACTTCAAGAAAAGACGATGTCTTCGAACTAGCATGCTTCTGAACCGTTTCCCTGCTCCTTTCAACCTTCTTTATAATCTCTGCCACTATGCAAACTGACGAGGCGAGACCCAAAAGAAACAGCAGATCTGCAAGAGAAGTAAGTTGGGTTTTACAATTTTTTGAAACTTACAGTTGGCAGAGCTTACAAGCTTAAGTTTTTCTAGCATTTTTACCAGATCTTTTTAAATACACTGTTTCACAACCACTCCATGAGGCAGACACCTTCAGCCTCAGTTTAAAAATAAGGAAAGTAAGGCTCACAGGTATTAAAGGACTTACTAAAGTCACACAGCTAGGAAAGGCAGCAGTCCAGAGAACTAAAACCTAAGTCCTCATGACCATAACCTTTAACAGCAACACAAGAGGGATTTTCTATTTAATAGATCATGCAGCCTTTTATAAAGGTTACTGAAGTATGACTAAAAATCTCTATCTGAAGATTACTTAGAAATAAATCTGCATCTATTCTATCTGAATGCCTAGAAGAACTCATCATTTAAAGGCTATGTCTTTACAATAGTATCTATACTATCACATTCTTGTTTACTGCTTGAAAAAGTGCAGCTATCTCCTTAAAACTCCATTTTCTTTTTAAAGGAGGAATATGAATATGAAATTAAAATATTGAAATTAAACTAAACTTTAAGGTAAACTTTAACCTATAGCAAGAAATACAGTGAGGCTATGTAACTCATTTTCATAAATACCCAAATTAACTTAAAAACCCAAGAATTAAAAGTAGCATTACCATAAAATAGATTAGTCTTCATACTTACATAAATTTATTTTAAATGCACTGTATCAAATATTTAATGCATACAGCATATGAAAAAAATGTCTATCTTCCACATAATCTTATTAATAAAGTTCTCTGCTTTTGGGGTCAGACTGTTATTTCATAAAACTTATTTTTCACAAGAATACTGAAATACTAGTTTATCAAAATTGTAATTTTAAAGAGCAATGTACTTTGTCAGTGAGCTTAAATTTAGTTTTTCTTCACACAAGATTGAAAAGTTATAAACAACAATTACTCTACAAGTTTTGACTTGCTATATTTCAGTCACCAAATATTTTGACAATTGATAACCTATAAAAGAAACTAGGAGAAAATGACAAAAAAAAGAGGAAGAAACAACCCAGAATTAGGAGAGTGACTCTCCTCAACTTCTTCAAATGAAAAACCAGAGCACACTCCTTTTTCAAATCAAGTCAGTCACTTTTCTCAGTTCACTTTTTCAAAGACAGTATCAGAACAAATGCATTAGGAAATACTTACAATTCATCTAAAATATAAAAATTATAAAGATAATATTTTCTTTACCCAGTATACTTAGGCTCTCAGTCTGAAAAACTTTCTGAAGCGGAGGAAAGTAAATAACTAATAACTGTCCCATGATGGATCCGAGAACTGCATAGCAGAACATCTTATTACTGCAGAGGCCGACCTCAAACACAGACTTCGTCTGTTGGCAAAGCAGAGAGTCCGGCAGTTACTCCCTGGTCACAGCAACAACCTTCCAGTGTCAGTCACTGCCAAGTTTTCATAAAACGGGCTGAATTCCATAGCAGCAGTACCACGAAATCTCTTAATTTTAACTATTATTTTGGAATAATTCAGAGGGAATAAGGATAAATTTTAAAGCGGCTTCTCTTTAACAAGAAAGGGCTTTCTTTAAAAGAGTGATTCTCTGTGATACACACACACACACACACACACACACACACACACACGAACATAGGACTAAAGGTACTTTACATTCCAAAGCATAAGACACTCTATTTGTACATGTTTATTTTGCTAAATCACTTCTATCTGTTCACTAAGGTAGATAATTTAAAGACCTTTCTTGAAGAATGGACCTAGTAATGTGTGTACTGAAAAAGTAAAACTGCCTTTCATAAAACAAAAAAATGGTATAGCTTCTTCAAAAATTAGCCTAAATTAATGACAAATCACCATACTTGGAAAGTTCTAGCATGAAAAATAGTAATAATCAAGTATTCATAGGTGCTTTCAAACTGAAATGAATAGTCAGGCCTCAAATGCAACCAGTTTTCATGATCAATATGCTCTGAAAAAGAACCACTAGTTCTAGCCCATTATCTTCTATCATAACACTTTGAACAATAAAAGGCAATCACAACTTAAGATACAACAACACTGAAAGAAAAGCAAATTTAAAATGTCCCAAGTTTTCACCCACTGACAGGAGTAATGGGAAAAAAATAATATGCACAAAATTGTTCTTATACTTCTAACAATACTTTCCTATGAAATGAGCCTGATACTCTAACCCACAGGTTTGTCCTATGCTGAGGGAGTGTTAACTTGAACCTATCGTATAACTACAGATAATAAGAGAATGAAAAGAGGAAAGATCAGAGAAGAAATATCAGAAACTATAGAGATAAAGAGAATGGAAAGAAGAAAGATGACACCTGTGATTTATATGGTCTTCTGGTCCAAAGTAAGCCTTATCTCCCATCACCTGACACCTGGGCCAGGTACAGGAGGGTGACGCCTAACCACCGCCGTGCCCTGTAACCACTCAGGCAACACCTACCCTGGGGCCTTGGTTTCCCCATCTGTAAATTATGGTATAATGATAAGCATATCTGTAGGAAGGCTGTATCTGGGGCCATAATCTGTGGCTACAAAAATCAAGAAAGGCTAAAAGCCACAATCCTTGCCTACTTACAGTGAGAGTGCTCTACCCATCTGAATCCATCAGCTGAGGTCACCTACAGGGCATACCTGGGATCTGGAGCTTAATGCATTGAACATGTCAAAAAACACAAAACATGTGAAGGTCATTGTTGTGTCTCGAGGTGTTATCACATTGTCTCGTAGCTGTCAAGAGAAAAAACAATGTTAGTGCTAAATTTAATGGACAAATACTACATGCTTTTAGGAAGTTTCCTTTCCATTAGGATAAAATAGTTTTAATCTAAGAGCTACCTAACATTTCCTATATGCCACTTAAATAAGTCATCTAATAAACAGCTGTACTCTACATGGAGTAAAATGTCTTCTCACAAACCATATACTGGATATTACAACTTTCTTTATGGATGGCAATAAACTAGCTATATAGTAAAGGCTGAGATTTTCTAACTTCTCCCCAAATTCTCATGTATTTTTATTGCATCTGAACTTCTCTGCACATTTACATTATTCTAATATGTGACTCAGGATTTATATTAACTCATGAAAATTGAAATCACACTCTTTTAATATTACTGCCATATGTTTCAAAGAGCTCCAACTTCCCAACCTTCAATGTAAAGCTCTAAAGTAATGAGGTCCTGTCATACAGATGCATGCTAATAAAGTAGCTCATCTGGTGAATATACCTCCCGCCAGAAGACAAACAAAGTCCCACAAACAATGATTATTGATGAAACAAGTATTTTAAGTATCAGGTTTTTGGTCAAAATGCTGTCCTTCCAGTTGCGTGGAGGTTTACGAATGACGTCCTTATCCACTGGTTCTACTCCAAGGCTTCAACACAAACAAAAAAGTGAATTAGTTTAAAGTCTTAAGGTTTGAACTTGTTACTTTCACAACCTCATTAACCTCAATTATCCAAGAAACTAAATACATTCTCATGGAAACAAAATGTGGAATCGTAAGAAACTCTCTGCTATGATTACAAAAATATCCTTGGATTTTATCACTTTTTCATCTTTTACTATTGTTTATTTGGCACAGTTTGATATGGGATTGATAGTTAAATTTCAAAAAATCATCCAGTTATATTTATATCTAGGTTTACTTATTTCATGTATGGCCTTAAATACTTGACCTACTAACCGGACTCTGAAGTCCCCTTAAGCCAGGTTTTGACAAGGATGGTTTGTTGTGATGGCTACTGACCTGCATCACTCAACCACTCTCTCTGCTGGGAAGCAGCATCTATGGCCTCATTAGTGTAAAAAGAAATACTTCCATGCTTAGGCTCTTCAAACGCGTTCCCAGCCTCTAATACTGACAGCAAACCTAGGTAATAACAGCGAACTCAGTGTCTCCATCACATGTGGCTCTGAGGAACAAAAGGCTTACTTCCTGGGGGCCAGGGGCCGCACATGGACCCCGCCCGGCTCCCACAGAAGGCTGGGCAGCTGGCACTGCCAAGGCGCAGGTGCATTATGTGCACACACCCAACGGGAGTGAGCCACAGCTACATAAACACCTTGCTGCATAGACGAACGATGCTATCGATGAATAAAGTCTTAAAAATTATCAGGATATCTTCTTTTCTAGTGTATGCATGAAAAAAATCTTACCTCTGAGCTGGAGGGCCATCCATAATAATATTGATCCACAAAATCTGCATGGCATTGAGAGGATTAGGAAAATTCATTAAGGTAGCCAATGAGATTAAAGTTAAAGCAGCTATACTCCTGTTAAAAAAAAGCCAAACATGTCAGCAGATTTTAATTCTTATAATTTTATGTCACTTAGCATTTAAAAATGTCATATTGCTACTGTTTTTTAAAAGAAGGCTGTATTTCCAAGGAACCTGTTTCATTCCTGTGAACATTTTCAAGCTAAGACTTAACCCTTATAATCCATAGCATTTCAACAAAGGATTTGCAAAACGTTTAGATAACAGTAAAAAAGAGAAGAAGAATTTTTTAATTGAGTTCAAGATAGCTGTTGCTACACAGCAGCTAACATTTTCAACAAATGTTTTGGTAACTGTTTTCTGACTATAGGAAAGCTCTTCTTTTGGAAAAGACACCAAAAAGAAACACTTAGATTTGACACCCCTTCCTTAGTTATTTAAGGAGCTATTAAAACACAAGGTATTTTAGGATAGAATTTTCTTCTTGGAAAACTTACATATGAACAACCCTCAAAAATAGAGCCCAAAAGCCTTTAGACATTCTGCTTGAAACCTACTTTTCATATAATTTATCTGTAAGACCCATGGTGACAAACTTCTTAAAAACTTACGTGCTCAGTTGAAATCTAACAAAATTTTTAATGTTATTATAAATCCCTTTGCCCTCTTCAATTGCAGACCTGAAATTTAAAAATAAAATTAAGTGAGAAATCATCAACACACAAAAATATAGATACACCTATACTAATGCATGGTGGAGTTAATTTTGAAAACAGATTTCCAGCTGACATAACACACAATCACTAAAATAATTTATTATTTTCTTCACATTACTAATATGAGGGGAAAAAATGGAAACATTATCCTAGAAAGGAATTAAAGTCAAGCCTGCTAATCTCTACCGAAATTTATTTCATTACATAATACTACAATTCTTATACTTAAAAAGGTATTTCAACATTAAAATCACATTTTGTCTTTCTACAAGGAACAATACTATACATTTAAATACTAAAATAATGATCCCCTTAGCCCTTCCAAATTTATTTTTCTTAAAGGTACAAGATGCATGCATGGGGGTTAAATTAATGTATATCAGGAATTAAATGGCATGAAATATGTAAGAATTATGGCATTTAAGCTTTCTGCTGCTCCTACATATAACTAGGTATATATTTTATAGCAGAACTATATAAATATGGTTTACAAAGATACATGTAAATTCTTTCATTTGGCTGAATTTAGAAAAATACTTGTTTTTTAAACAACTTCCCCTTTCTTCCAAGAGTTTTATATAATTCTTTGAAAAATAAAAATCTTACATCCTTCCAAGAGCCTGACATTTTTGCGTCGTGTGTTTCCACACACTCCACTTTAGGCCAAGGTGAGCTAATGAAGCACCCGGGGTATATAATTAGCATGAGTCAATGAACTGAGTAGGCCTGGTCATCCAATAGGTTATTATCAAAACAGGGGATCCAAGTGACCCCCCACCCAAACACTGTGAAACTGATACCACCAAATATTACATAAGAATCTTAAATCAATTAGAAACTGTGGCTGAAACAGACAAAGCTATTCAAACATAACTTTGTCACTGACAACAGGAACAAATACTGATATAAGAAAAGAGGTATGAATGGGAACTGAATTACTTTTAATACATTAACACATACAGTCATGGATAGACACCTTTATTTCCAGTACACTGAATTTAAGTAGAATAAGGGCCCCACTGAGGTCCACTGCTCACCACCACACTAGTGGCAAGAAAAATGTGATATTTGGCTGACATTCAGTAAATATTTCTTAGGTGAATGTCATTTTCTTATGTCCTTACCATTTCATACAAATAATTTTCCCCAAAACTGTATACTAGGCCATAAAATAAGATTAATTGATCTAATAAAATAGTTCAACTCATCCAATGTTTAAATACTGTTAATTCCTTTTCAGTTGAATGTTTGGGGATGGGGTGCAGGGAGAAGATTCTCTGATGTGCATTCACTGAAACAACACTTACATTATGGTTTGGAAATCATCATCCACCAGGATCATGTCTGCGGCTTCTTTGCAAACATCTGTGCCAGTCTGACCCATTGCGACTCCTATGTCTGCAGCTTTGAGAGCCACTGCATCATTCACGCCATCTCCTGTCATAGCTACAACTGACCCACTCTTCTGTAGAGACTGGAATAGCAGGGTGGGGGAGAAGCAGCATTCTGATCAAAATGTTGCTTCCACACAGCTAACAGGGTTAACAAACCTTATTTTTTTCATACAATTAAGACTGAAAATAATATAGAACACCAGTTTTTCAGTAAATTTCAATGTATGGAGGTCTTAAGAAAAAGCTCAGAAAAAGTTGCTATTTATATTCCCATGTGTAAGAACTAGGTCTAAAGTTTGATCTAGAGTTAATTATACAGTGGTCCTCAGGGGCAAACCTGACTCCTAGAGAACATGTGGCAATGTCTGGGACATTTTTAATTGTCAGAACTTGGAGGATGCTGCTAGCATCTACAGGGTAGGGGTCATGGATGCTGCTAAATGTCCTACAACAGCCAGGAGAGCACCTCCCAATGAAGGATCATCCAGTCCAAAATGTCAACAGCACTACAATTGAGAATCTCCAAGGTAATGCAATGGAGGGCTGTTGTGATTTATAACTTAAGTCTATTAACTAATGGATACTATATCAATTGCTTTGTATACATTTGACAATTAATATAAATAACCATAGCCTTTTAAATATTTTTCATACTCTCAAAACATTTTTTTTCATGCCGTATTTATTCAGTTTCTAAATAACTAATGCTATTCACACTAGGATGGATTTGGCTAAGGACTCTTGTCAGAACATACTTCTACACTGTTAAATTGTTCAAAGAATGTATTTGCAGATATTTCATTAGTTTTCTTTTACAGCTACCTTTGCTAACTAAATTATCTATTAATATTCCCATTTCAGGCTCTTAAAAAAAAAGGTCACCTGTTCGGTTTCACAATACCTCTGACTTTAATGCTCTATCAAAACTCCTGTAATGCAAGCATAATGAAAGACAAAAAGCAGCATTTTGGTCACAGGGATAAAACAAGCTTACTCTTAGCGACCTACCTTAATAATTTTCATCTTGTGCCTCGGACTAGCTCTGTAAAATACCGCAACCTGTTAAAACACAGCATTCACAAAACATCTTCAGTGTTGAGAAGTATCAGAATAACCCATGCACTTATAACTGACAATGATTTTTTTAAATCATCAATTTAGATAAAATAAATCAATTCACCACAGAGATCACGCTTAAGCAATATGCCATGTTTGTTAAGATATCGATTAAGCAGTCATTTCCACAAGAAATACACAATTAAGTTTTCCTATTACCTCATTATGTTTAAACTCTGAAGAGAAAAAAGAACTGTTTTGAAAGGTTTCAGCGATGGAGAAAGGAAAGCTCTCTTGCATGTTTCCTCACGACAGCGGCCCAATTCCAAAGGCCTCTTTCCCTTCTTTCTCCGCTCAGGAGCACAGACGCCCGCCGCTGGGGACCGGGCAAGCACTGGTCTGTTTGCACAGACGGGGTCTGTGCATCCTCGTTCACTCCTCACCAGGCGCTCGGCTGTGCCGCCGGCTACTCACGTGACCTAATCTCGCCAAGTCATATTTTAATTCCTCTTTGTGCCCCATCTCCTGGGCTCGTGAAGCCCTTTCGTTGTACCCCAAAGTCAGTCATCAGAAAACCCACATTGCTCTAACCTAATTTATCCACAAAACATGGGCCACCCCTACAGTCATGTCAAATACCTCCACCGAGAGCACAGAGAGGGACGCCCCTGCCCTCCTTCACCCATCAGGCCCAGCTCCGGCGGCCCCGGGGCCTGCGGGCGCTCGCTGCCCTGCTCCCAGCATTTCGCAGACCCACCGCCGCCGCCCCACCGCCCCTCTCTCCCACACCACTTTCGAGGAGGAGTGGCGTTGACACCCCCCAGCACTCTGTCGGCTCCCCTCCTCTCCTGAGGATCGGTACATCTTAGCTTCCTCTCCTCATAATTCCAGTTTGTCCTCTTCTCCAGTCCCACTCTCGGCTGACAACTTTTTCCTCCTTCAAAGGATACAGAACCAGAAAACACCTTACATCTGCACCCAGGCCCCTCTCTTGCTCCCGCGTCACTCCAGGTGAAGTGAATAGGCCCCGGATGCGAGCCAGATACTCCCCTTCCTACTTGCAGGATCACTGCTCCAAAACTGCCCTCCTACAGCAACACTGTTTCCCCGCTCCTGCGTGTCTAGCACCAGCGTACACACGTGTAGGTGGTCCTTACCTTCAAAGAGAAACAAACCAAGACTGCCCTCACCACTTAGGCCGCCCCCTACTGCGCGCCCCTCTCTACAGCAGGCTCCCTCGGGTTGCCGCCTACTAGACAAGCTGTCTCCCCTCCCCACCCACCCCATCCTACTCAGGCGCTCACCCCGCCACCGCACCGAAAGCCCCATTCAAGAGCAGCTGGCAGCACCCCACAGCGGCGGACAACTCCCTCCTGAACGTCCTGCTTCTCTAGGCTTCCACGACCCCGACAGGCTCCCTTTCCCTGCCTCTCCCGACCAAGCTCCTCTGGACGGCCCTGAAGTCAGTATGTGGAGTATTCCAGGACTCAGCCCTTACACTCTTCTCTGTAAGAGGTGTAAGAATCCCCTGTACCTCTCCCTCCATCCCCTGGTTACCTCACTAATCTTCTAGATTTGGGTTTTATTTATACGCACTTTTTATCTCCAGATTTCTCTTCAAAAATCCGGATCGACTAATGATCCACTTGCCTACTCATTTCCTGAGATAAACTATCACAAACTGAACCCGTTACTTCCCAAAATATGTGTGCCTTCATATCCTCTGCTCGTGGCAATGCATCCTGCAGTCTCTAAATCTGGAGAGCCAGCCTTGATTCCTCCAGAACTGCTGCAAGCTGTCTGACAGCAAATCCTGTTGGCTTCATCCTCAAATATATTCAGAATTCAACCTCCTTACTCTAAAGCCACTGTCAACACCCTGGGTCCTTATCTCTGAACTTACTTTCTTATTTCTGCCCTTACATCCTGTAACCTACTCTCAACACAGTGCCCAGAATGCAAATGTTTAGAGGTCAGATCACACCAAAGCCCTCCAATGACTTCCCATCTCCCGCAGAACGAATGCCAAAAGTTTCTTCTTCTCTACCACGTCCGCTACCCCCACCCCAATGATCTTTTCTCACATGAACTACACTGGCCTCAATGGTTCCCAAAACACACCAGGCACACTCACAAGTCCATGTCCCCTCAGCCTGGGGTGCTCCCTCCTCAGAGGCTGGCCAGCCTGCCCCTGTGTCAGATAGGACCTTCTGGGGGGGTCTCCCTTGGTCATGTTAGCCAGTCCACTCTCCCTCCCTCATCTTTCATCTCTCCTACCTGATTTTCATGCTCTTTTACTTAATCTAACATACTGTGTTTATTTCTCTTAGACTACACGCTCCATGAAGGCAAAGATTTCTGCCCTTTATCTCCAGTGCTTTATAAATACATATTATGAATGAGTAAATGACTGAATGAACCTTAGTTCCACCATGAAGACAGTTCCCAGGTTCTCTCACAATTTTAATAAAGGTCTAAAACAAAAGACTCTGTGCAATGGAGTATCAATTACTGATTATCCACAGATTCTCTAGGTACCATGAATCACATCACTCATCTGGAGAATATACTTCCTTTAAAAAAAGTTTAAAAATCCATTGGGAAACTCTTTAGTATGTCTTTAAAATGACCGAGCTACAGATGAAGTATACCTGGTAACTGTCTCAGTGGAAATTCTACTTTACTGCAGAATCAACCCCGGAGTACATAGCACTAAAATATAAGAGTGCTTACTTAGCAAAGGCTGCAGATTTTTCAGAATATTTAAGTAAAAGGATAATAATCATAAATACTCAGGTGTACAAAGTAAGATTTTGTCTCTTTCCAGGGCAGGTCACTCCATATAGCCACTGTGGGTCATCACTGACAATGGCAGCAGGGTGACAAGCTAGCTGTAAGCTGAGAACATATCCCTATCGTGCAATGACGGACCACGTGGCATGCATCCAGCACCCCTATTACTGATACAAGGTCTCAGCGCTTTGAAGCTTTGACAGTGACTCAGAGCAGCTGCTTTAAGACTAGGCATATCTCAATGCATAGCTGAAGACTCACTTGGTGATGTGCATGTAGTACATTAACACTGCAGAGTAATATTTGTTCTTAAAGCCCCAGGATGAGCAAGTCAATCTTTTTAGTTGAGTAAAAATACTGAAATTTAATGACACAAAATTACGGCCTGAAGAAATTAGATTAAAAACAAAAACAAACAGAAATGACTATAAACTGAAATATATCATTGTATCAAAGAGCTAGGATTAAACCTGGGGGTAACTTAATTTCCTCTATTAATAATCTTTTTGAGACAGAGACATGGGACAAGCGTCATTCATAATTAATTTTCCTAAAAATGCTGAGATATAAATAGCATAGTAAGAACAGGAAGGCTCCATCTTAAGGCCAAGATTCCACTTTAAAAGCAGAGTTGGGAAGTAAGCTTCTTAATATATTCTTTGGTAATCAGCCAACAACCTATCTTAAGGCAGGGCGAGCAGCCCTAACTGTATGTTCCCAGTGCTAGAGGGGAACCACTATCTTGGAGAGGAACAGGATCAATGAATTCCTTGTGTCAAGTTGACCTTACAGAATTATCTAGAGGACTGACTGTTCCTGGTGACATAATGTCTGACACTGGAGACAGACATCGTGAGACCCACAAGTCAAGTCTATTCCACCCACTCCCTGCTGCCCTTTGGTCTATTCCTGAAAGCCTTAAAAGACAGAATCCTAAGCCCTTAAGTGAGCCTCCTCTCTGAGGTTGCCCGCACTTTTTCTCTTTAAGTGCGTACTTTCAAATAGCTTTCTCACTGCTCAACTTAACTGCATTTTGTCTCTGCGCTCCTCCAGTGGTGAGCATTTTTGTGTCTTTGTTATTTCATTCTATTTCCAAGTCTTCATTCTGTCTCCACTTTACTTTTGACAAGTAGGGAGTAAAAGCTGCTCAGAGCTTGAATTTGGGCCTACAAGTTCCCATCACCTGGTGACCCAGATGAAACTGCAGCTGCGTGATCTCCTCTTCAGCAGCCTGCCTGAAAATGTCCTTCCTGTGGGAAGTTCTCAGATCATAACCTCCATCCTGTGCTCCGTGGCTCCCCCAAAACGTTTCCTCCTTCCCTGTGCACCTTCCTGCTCTCAGCTGCTGTTCATTACTACTCTCACTTTAATGAATTCCTTCCTTAACTACACTCTTCTGACCTGCTTGGGAATTCTTTCTCAGAGCCAAGAACCCTCCTCCATCCAGGGCGAAGTTTCACCAGATGTGCAGGTAGAGACCTCCCCAGATGTAGCTGCGTGGCCACATTTTTACCTTTATGTCTGTTTCTCTGAACAAGGAAATACACTGATTAAAGATGAGCACACAATAAAATCACTGCAGTTCAGGAGCAGGAGGGGAGGAAGCAGGATGAGGACAACAGGATGAGGAGAGAGGAGTGGAAAAGGAAAGGAGGGAGCTTAGGGAATAATGGAGGGGATCCTCAAAGGAAAGGACCCCTCAAGGTGAGGGGAAAGGAGCTGTGAAAGTGTCTTTTCTCACAGGCCCCTCTTGCAGTGTCATGCTGTGGCTGGCACAAGCAGTTCCTTTGATCGACACGTACAGACGAGGTGTACTAGGGAAAGGAAGCTCTGAAGAGAAGGATTAGGGAAACATTAAAGAAGAGATTAATGAAAAAGTGTTCCTAGCATTCAAATAACCTACCAAAGGTCCCCAAATCTTCCAGGGCAAATAAAAGGTAACTGATGCATTGAAGGAAAATAGGGGACTGAAACAAGTATTTACATCCTACCAAAAATTAGAGCGCATAGACTGGGATTGTATTACAGGGACTTGGTTAACAGGCTTGGTGTAATAGAGGAACCATATAAAAAAGAACAAAGAGGATGTCCACTTTTATTGATGGGAAATATAGGACACACTGAAAGAAATCATTAACAAAAAACAATGAGAACTCCCTGATGCACTTTAATAATTGTGGGGTAAAACTGTAATGTCCAGAATCTCTAGACTGGCCTTAGTCCATTTACTCATCAATAGGAGTTTCTTCCCGACAAGGGGTGGGTAGCTGGTCTCTCCTCCCCTCCTCTGTGTAATCAGCCTGGCACCCCAGGCCGATTCGGGCAAAACGGAACACGCCTGCCCCAGAGCCACAAGAATTAGACCAAATTCAGTTTCTATACTACTTTTCACTTGGCTCTAGGTCAAAAGGCCGCTGCAGTGTTAAGACATTTAGAATGTGTGACTGAAATATGTTAAGAGAAAACTGGAGAACGTTTTAATGAGCAACAGAATATGATTTTAGCCCATGTGGGAAAACCTCAGCAGACAATTTAGAGGAAAGGTTTTGTTTTTAACACTAATATAAGAAAAGCTGTTCACACTGACCTGAACCAAAAGCCTAAGAAGGCCAAGAATAGGTGTTGGCTGTAACTTACATGAGATCAGAGGGAAAAGAGACAGTAAAGGGTTGCGGGTGGTGGGGGGAGATTTGGGGACCTTTGGTAGGTTGAGCCCCAGTCCTGCTAAGCTCAAAGGACTAGAAAAAAAAATGATAAACTGGACTTCACCAAAATTTACAATGTCTGCTCTCTGAAGACACAATTAACAGAATAAAAAGGCCACAGACTGGGAAAAAATATTTTCAAATCAAGTATCTGATAAAGAACTGATATCTATAATATATTTTTTAAAACTCTCAAAATTCACTAGAACAAACACAATTTTTAAAAAGTAGGGCAGACACTTCACTAAATAAGATATATGAATGGCAAATACATGAAAAGACTCAAAAACATAAGTTGTGAGGGAAATGCAAATGGACACTACAATAAGGTATCACCATACACATATCAGAATGACAGGAAGGAGAATTGACCACTCATGTGATGGTAAAGATGCAAAACAATTAGACTTGCAAATATTGTTGGTGGGAATCAAAACAACTTCATAGTTTCTTATACAGTTAAACATACATTAGCCATATGGCCCAGCAAAATACTCTTACGTATTTACCTCCAAAATTTATCTTCATATGAAAACCCATACACAAATGTTTAAAGTAGCTTTATTCATAATCAGAATGATCCAAATGCCTATAAACTGGCGAACAGGTACCATACACCCATATAGTGGACTACTACTACATAATATAAAACAAGAACATACTACTGATATACACAACCAACATCAGTAAATCTCAAAGGCCATTATGCTAAGTGAAAGAAGCAGATTCAAAGCCCTCATACCATAGAATTCCATTTTTAGAGCATTCTGGAAAAAAGCAAAACTATAGGAACAGAAAACAAATCAGTGGCTGCCAACTGCTAGAAGTAGAGGGAGCAGTTGACTACATATAGGCACAACAGAATTTTGGGATATGATGGAACTATTTTCTGTCTTGACTGTGGAGGCAGGTACAAAACCATGTGCACTATCAAAACTCTTAACTGTACATTAAAAAGGGTTTATTTTACTGATAAAAATGCTAACTCAATTTTTTAAAAAAGCATTATATGCTCATACTTATATTAAAACATAACAAAAGGGTAAGAAGTATGAAGTAACAGTCCTTTCCACTCTGTACTTTAAATACAGTACAACCTTTGTTCACTTCCACAGTACCTTCAACAGAGGAAACTTGATTCTTGTTGAGCTTAAATGGATTTGCACTGATATTCATTATGATCATATCACGAAATACTCTCAATGTAAGACTGATTTCAATGATAAGATTTCGCTTCATAATCTGGACCAACAAATCTGGTGGTCATGTCCCAGTTGTTCTCAGAGAAAGTTTCCTCACCTTGAATGGTAAGGCACAGAGTAAGGCCTTCCAGTCTGAAAGGCTTAGTTCAGGCCTACCTTTGGTACTATTTGTGAAAGCTGCTGGACATCCATGGCATCTATTTCTTCTCCTGAGACTGACTGGGAAGTTTTGGAATACAATCCCAGACGACTAGCTAAGGCGAAATTGGGGAGAAAATACAATTAATCAAATTGGTTAATATGATTTGTTATCCACTCTACTTGATATAAAGACATTTTAGACTTAAAATCACAGGATATAATACTGCTAAGACAAGTTTTTCTGAATTAATGAAAAGCTGGGGGTTTTGGTTGCCTGCTTTATTTGTGTTTAGACTTAAGAATAAAGAGTTTCTCAATTTAGCCCACCACAGCTAAGAACAGATACAAAGGCCATCCAGTTCTGCATAGCAGCTCAGTGAAGACTGGAGTGCATTTTTAACTAAAGCATCCAAAGCCACACAAAATGATAGTGGCTTTGTGGTAATCATGCAGCTGTGTGCAGATGAAAATAAACATAAGGGTTTTCTTGGTGTAGTCTTTCCAGGAATGTTCCCAGTGACATATTCTTCCATATAAATTGTGAAACTCCTGTCCCAGGATTTCTCCATATTAACAAAATCAGAATTAACAGACTCTAGCAAACTGTTTAAACTTATTGGTATGAATTACAATTTACAGTTGCTGGTAGATTAACTTACACATCCATTTTTCCCTTATACTTATTAAGGCAATATTAAGTGGCATTCAAACAATATAGGCATATATACAATGAGACAACAGAAATTGAGACACAAGCTATCTTCTTTCAAATTAAGTACAGGTATGGTTTGAAAACTGTCGTCAAATCAAAAGGAAAGGCTTGGTTTTATGGTTTTTTCACACTAGTGATCTAGTCTTCTAACTGTCAGCTTGGTGGATTATGAAGTTAAAAGTAACTATCACCTTGTGAATAAAATACATGTGACTTCATGATTTACTTACATATTTTCCATTAGTAGTATTCTTTAACTAAGTTCTGTCCACAATTTCATAAAGAGTATGAGCAAACAGGAGTCAGTTTTAATTGCATAATCGCAAACAGGAGTCAGTTTTAATTGCATAATCTCAATATAAAGTAACACACTTCACGTCTAATGGTTCACAAAACTGTGCTATGCGCTGCAGCAATTTAAGAAAACCTGTCAAAGCAAAAGGAAGTAACCTAGTTATACCAATTGCAACTGCAGTTTCCTGGGAGTCTCCGGTAATCATTTTTATCGACACTCCTGAAGCAATGAGTGTTGTAACAGCTTCTTTCACACCAGTTCTAGGAGGATCAATGATTCCCACCAGGCCAAGAAATGTCAGCTGTCCCAGTTCAGGACCAGAAGCCAAAGCAAGAACTTAGGAAACAATAATACAAAAATGTGAGTCATAAAACCATTAGAATTTACTTGACAAAAGATGGAGAGAGCAACACCTCTCAAATACCCAAGACTATATCACTGTAGTTATTGTAAAATATTTAAAAATCATAATTATTACATGCCAAGATGCCAAGAGTTTAATGGTTCTAAGTATCAAGTAGCTTTATTAAAAACTAAAAGAAATAAGGCAAAAAATTGTTAAGCAGAGAAGGCCCATGAAGAGTGAATAAAGAATGTTTCACATTAACCACATGCAGCTCCTTCCGACATAAACTACTGGCTCTTTAGAAAATGAAATTGTTTGGAGAAACTAGGTTTGTTGAGCTTTAAATTCAATTTTAAACAGACACCTTTGAAGGTGGCTTCTACTAATGTATCTTTCATCTTTCCATTTTATGGATCTCCAGAACAATTCAATAGCTTCAAGAAAAGGCTAGATTACTTAGTTATATTCATGTAACAATTTTGTAAGTGACAAAGCCTGGTAGGTAAAGTTGATCTGTAAAATGATCGTAAAACCACTAATACCAACAATAGTTTGGATTCTTTATCTTCCTGTGACATTACCATTCCTCATTTGTAACTCTGGAGTATATAAATAGTAGCACTGTACCATTACTTATAGTCAGTCTCCTGTCATCCTCAGACACTTAAGATGCAGCACACAGTACAGGCATTTCCGAGTATCGTTTAACTTACTCTCAAATCCTGGAACTTCTACTAAATGCTGTATGAGCCAAAGGGCTGTGTCTCCATTAGGAATATTATTAGACTGAACAACTTACCAAAGAAAACACAAAATAAGCAGACTGACTAACATACATGTCTCTTGGGAAACTGGAAAGTCCCAGTGAGGTCTCAGAAGTATCCATTCTTATTCAAGCCCAAGGTATGAAGGATTAGATGTATTGGGAACACCATGGTTGGAGGCAATTAACTTCTGTTTCCAGTATAAGAGTCATATACCTAACCACTTCTGTAGATGTGGGCCCCAAAGGCTTTCACCCTGGAGGGAAAAGCCCTGGTATGAGACAACGTAGGCTCCTGACAGTCCCTAGTATTAGAACAGAGGCAGATGGCAACCAAAGGGGACAGTATCAACAAATGTGTCAGCAAATCCCACATGGACAAGGCTGGCTCCTGGCACTTTCAGTGGAGGAATGGAATTAACCTAGGACTTAGAACCTTGTATTTATTTATGTGCTTCTTTAGCATAAAAGAAGATCTGTTACTGTTTAGGACAAGGGTAGGCAGACGTGTTTTGTGGGTTGGCTACCTGATTAAAAAAAAAAAACATACTCGAATTTCAAAATTGGGGACATGTGTTTAAGAAACTTAAATTTTGTAAGATGCAACATAAGTACAAATCAACTTATATTTAAAATCTTTCTGTTCTTCATTATGCTAACTTCAGAGGGAGGAGGAAAATGAAGTATAGGCAAAGGAAGAGGAAAAGACATGAAGTAGAGACAAATGAGTGTGGAGTGTTCATACAGCCCTACAGGGAAAAGACATTTTCTCTTCCAACTCTGGTCTCCTTCCCCACAGCCAGTACACCCTCTGCCTGTTCTCTTTTCTCTCTCACAATCCTTCAGATGAAGAGAGTTAGTCAAATTTAAAAAGTGTGAAACTTCTGTTCCAGAAATTAAGGAAAACAAGGAGTACACCCCAGAACCTTTATGACTTCTCTAGGGTTTTCTAAGTCCAAGACAACTTGGACACCCTCCTGCTGTGAACTTCTGAGAGTAACAAAACTCTGCCCTCTAACAGAGCCACAAGAATACCTTCCTAAACATAGCTTATTATAAGAGCCAAGTCCTGAAAATCTATTCAAATGTTTTATACCCACAGAAAGCCCTTGCTTAAGTGAATCAGGAATAAGAAAATTTCTTATGTAATTTGTTTCCTCCTTCCAGGAATTGTAGTGTCTGACTTCCAGTTTCCTTGAGAAGACTACATAAACATAAGTACAGCTGCCTTTGAATAATGTAGGAGTCAGGAGCACTGGCTCCCGTGTGCAGTGGGAAATCCACATGTAACTTTTGACTCCCCAAAAACATTACTGCCTACTATACATAAAATGGGTCAATTTACTTCAGATGCAACAAAGACTAGAAAAGTAGAAAAGAAATGGGAGAACCTTAGGGTCCAACAGAGAAAAAAGAGAATAGGCAGAGGGTGTACTGGCTGTTCTCCTGATCCCTGTGGGGCTGACACCTGCCTCCAGGTGGGTCAGGCCCAGGCTGAGAGGAGCACACCGGAAGGGTCTCAGGTTTACTGTCTCTTTCCTGCCTGACGCAGGCCTGGGCCCCTCTGCTCCTCTCAGATCCTGGCATTTCTCTGGCCCAGACAGAAACCAGTCAGGTCAGCTGGTTAAAGTGTGGCACTATTAATGCAAAGGGTGTGAGCTCAATCCCCCTATAGACCACTACATACATCTTTCCCTTTCCATTTCCATTTCTATCAACAGGAGAAGGATTCAAGATGTTGGCGTGAGAAGAGAGACAGAGAACTCCTCCTAAAACCACATATAATATGAAAATATAATTAATACAACCAACCCTAAAAGAGCAACAGGAAAGAAGGCTGCACCAGCCTGCTTACACCTGGAGAACAGAGCAGACCTCACGAAACAGGGTAATGTACCAAAGCCTTGATCTGGCAGGACCCAAGCCCTTCCCCCACCCCAGCTCACTGGGGATAGCAAGAGAAACAGAGCGGGGAGTGGGTGGAAGCCTAGGACTGCTGAATACCCAGCCCTGGAGATCTGCTTTGGTAGTGCAAACCTACATTGCATGATGTTCTGGAGATTAGTGGGTTGGAAAGCTAAAACAGGTAGAATACTTGGAGAGACTAAGATTCCAGCCATTTGTGGAGGACAGCGATCCACACCCAGCTGCTCTGGGAGAAAGGAAAGGCAGGTGGTCTGAGAGGCTTTCTAGCAGCAAGAGGGCTGCTGAAGGGGCGGACTTTGCAAGGAGCTTGCTGCATGGGAGTAGGGATAGGTGAAGACTATCTGGGCATGCTCTGCCCAACAGGTTGGAAACTTTCAGGAGCTTCAGGGGCTCCATCCCTGTAGCTGGCTACTCAGCTCTGAAGTCCCCCAATGTGATACAGCCTATTGCGCCTTCCTCCTGGACTGCAGGCACCAGCTCACAAACTGGCAGTCCCTGCCCTGGTGTCAGGCCAGCCAGAGGAAGGCCCTGCCTACAGCAGCTACAGACAGAAAGCACAGAGGCTTACACCTGTGTGCTCAGCCCACTGGATCTGACAGTGGAGACAAGGACTGCAGCCAGGAAGCAGGAAGCAGCTCTTTCCCCCTACAGGCACCAGCACCACTCCCCTATAGCCCCCAACATCATTCCAGGGGCTGAGCAGCTCCAGAGAGTAGAGCTTCTGGGCACTACAGAGCGCCACATACAAATGTGAAACGTCAAAGGAACCTGGTTCAAACCAAAATCCCACAAGCACCATAAAAAGGCCCAAATGAAACTGAAATCACCAATCTTCCTGAAAGAGTGCTCAAAATAAAAATCATAAACATGCTCATGGAGGTACAGAAAAATATTCAAGAACTCAGGGACGAATTTAGGATGGAGATTCAATCAATAAGAAATTCCATACCTGAAATGAAACTTACAAAGGAGGAATTTAAAAGCTGATTAAATGTAGTAGAATAGACGGTAAATGGAATAGAAATTAGAGAAGAGGAATACAAAGAAGCTAAGGCACACAGAGAAAAAACAACCTCTAAGAATGAAAGAATACTAAGAGACAGAGGCACTAAACAATGTATTAGAACAGATGGACCTAAAGGACATCAACAGAACACTCCATCCAAAAGCAACAGAATACACATTCTTCTCAAGTGCACATGGAACATTTTCAAGAACAGATCATATACTAGGCCACAAAAAGACCCTCAGTAAATTCAAAAAAGATTGAAATTGTACCAACCAGCTTCTCAGATCACAAAGGTATGAAACTAGAAATAAATTACACAAAGAAAATGAAAAAGCCCCCAAATATATGGAGGCTTAATAACATGCTCCTAAATAATCAATGGATCAATGACCAAATAAAAACAGAGATCAAGCAATATATGGAGACAAATGACAATAGTAATTCAACAACACAAAATCTCTGGGATGCAGCAAAGGCCACACTAAGAGGGAAGTATATTGCAATACAGGCCTACCTCAGGAAAGAAGAACAATCCCATGTAACAGTCTAAACTCAATGAAACTACAAAAAGAAGAACAAATGAGGCCCAAAGTCAGGAGTAGGGACATAATAAAGATTGGGGCAGAAATAAATAAAATCGAGAATAATAAAAGAAAGAAAGAATCCATGAAAGCAGGAGCTGGTTCTTTGAGAAAATAAACAAAACAGATAAACCCCTAGCCAGACTTATCAAGAAATAAAGAGAGTCTACACACATAAACAGACCAGAAATGAGAATCAGAAATGAGAAAGGAAAAAACACTATGGATACCAAAGAAATACAAAGAATTATGAAAGAATATGAAGAAAAATTATATGCTAACAAACTGGGTAACCTAGACAAAACGGACAACTTTCTAGAAAAATACAACCTTCTAAGACTGACCCAGGAAGAAACAGAAAATCTGACCAGACCAATTACCAGCAAGGAAACTGAACTGGTAATCAAAAAACTACCTAAGAACAAAACGCCTGTACCAGATGGTTTCACTTCTAAATTTTATCATTTAGTGAAGACCTAATACCCATCCTCCTTAAAGTTCTCCAAAAAGTAGAAGAGGAGTGAACACTCCCAAACTCATTCTACAAGGCCAGCATCACTCTAATATCAAAACCAGGTGAAGACACCACAAAAAAAGAATATTACAGACTAATATCCCTGATGAACATAAATACAAAAATACTCAACAAAATATTAGCAAACCCAATTCAAACATACATCAAAAAGATCATCCATTTCTATCAACCACATCACATGTGGTATCTGCTTGTTTTGTCCAATCACAGATACTGGTATTTTATTGAAGAGAACATGCATTAGGTGGACCCAAACAGTTCAAACTCACGTTGTTCAAGGGTCAACTGTAAAGAACACCCATGACCCCAACCCTGCCTCATCAATCCATCACTGATGTCCCTAAGGAAAAGTGGCCTGCTAGGTGTGCACACAGTAGACCCTCCCGTTACTGTTCAGTCAAGACTCTGGGCATGTCATCACCTCTCTGGTGAGAAGCAAGGGAAGGCCGTCAGCAGACAAAGAACAAGTAAGCAATCACCTCAGTTTAAAGGACAAGTTAGAGGCTTACCTCTTCAGTATTTAGGGAAGCATTTTTGAGCTATTAAGAAATAAGACTGGTATTAACGATAGCAAAATAGAAAAAAGAAATAAGACAGTTAACGTGATGAAATACGGAAGGCATGACTTCATTTCTCCTATTCTCCATTCTCACAGGTTTCTTAAAAATTAGACATGTCCCATTTTGCTACATTCCTGACTCCCCATATTTTGGGGGCCAATTAGTCAATTGAAACATAACACTTCAGAAATGGTGGGTCCGACAAAGGCTGGAGTGGAGCTGTACAGATCAGGTGAAGCAGGCTTGCCTGCAAACAGAAGGAACGCGCCGAAACGGCTTACCTCTGAGTCCCGCCGAGCCCATGCGCACCTTCTCTTGTTGGTACAGCTCTCTCTGTGGCTGGGTGAGGGTGAAGGTTTGCCCTTTGCTGTGGTATGTGGTACAGTATTTAATCACCTGTTCATAAGCACCCTTCATGAAACAAATCTCTGGTCTATCCTAAGAAGAAAACACATAGCAAATGAATTCAAGTTAATTTCAGCTTGGACACATGTGCCATTGGAATCTAAATTAGACAAGTGACATGCATTTCTCATCATCTCCAGGGAAGTCACTCAAGCCTAAGACTTTGACTGGCACTTGAACTCTGAATACTGAAGGTACTATGTGTGAATTTTCTGCACCCTCCATAGAAAACAGCATCTCCTTCCAACCCTCACCCACACACCCTGAAGGCAGTGCTCCATCAGGCTCTGGGTTAAGCACTCTGAGACTGGAGAAACTCCCAGCATAACAGGGAAGAAAAAGAGAGCTCACATAAGCCCATAGCAATGGTTCAGGCTTTGTTAGCCACTGTTACATATATATAGGTGATCCCATTCCATTCTCCAACCACCTTCTAATTATGGCTATTACCTAAACTTTTACTCTTTATCCTAGTAAAGTAATACACAAAAGCTTACAACTAAAACCTGCAGTCCTGGTCCAAACCTTCTAGTTCCACTCCACAAGGGAAACCAATTTTAACTCTTCTGGCAGTTTTCTTAGAGTTTATCTCCATGTTTTAAAATACATTTATACTGCTACTTTTTCCCTTATCAGTTTTATACAATGTCCATTTTGACAGGTAACGGTGCAGCCATCCCCACTGCCTATTCCTCCTCTCCCCATCCATATAAAGCAAAATCTGGCAGTATTGTTTGTGTTGACTCCCACTGCTAAGTGAAGTGGGAGTCCTAACCAGAACAGTTCATGAAGACCCATTTTCTCTGCAGGCACATGGAAGGAAGGTATTTCCCTGCCTCCCCCTCCCACTTTGAAATCAGGTATCACTTGCTTTGACAAGTACTTACATCACTTCCACATGGAAATTTTAGGGACCAGTGCCTAATGTGTTAGGCATTGCCCCTGCCACAGCATTGCATGCTCACATGAGACACAGCCTGCCTGCATCCTGACTAACTAGTGAGCACATGTTAGGGGGTAGGGAGACAGCAGGAAGACACAATGCTGTTTCCATGGCCAACACAGATCAAATACATTTCTTCTCCTGTTCAAGTTTTATCTTTAATAAAATTAATAACTGTCTCTTATTTGCTTAATTTTCCTTATAATTACTGCCAATTATTCCCAGACTCTTCTGTGTAATATAAAGCCCTTCTCAATGATACTTTCCACATGACCATATGAGCAGATAAGCTATCATGCCCACATTATTGAAGGTTTCCCTCCCTGAGTCTTGTTCTCTTTCCTTTTCTAACTTAAGGTAGCTAATTTGTAGTCTGCTTCAGACTGGTACCCAGGCCCTTCCCTTCATCTCCCCCTGGGGCTTCTTTACTCCCTCCTGGTTAGAACTCACTGGGTTCTAAGTCCTCCTTTTCTTAGTTTATTCTCTTATCTTGAAGAATATACCCATCAGTATATTTCCAGGAAAAGATATGTAGGAAATACTCTTTGAGACTTTAAATGCCTGAAAACACCTCTATTCTGTCCTCACATTCAAGTTCAGCTGGAAATAAATTTCCTCTCAATTTGAAGGCTCTATTAACCTTCAAGCCTCCAGAGTCCAGTGTTGCATTGAAAAGTGTGCTGAGCAGCTGGCAGGGCAATTTTATTCTAGAAGCTGAAGTCATTCATCTGGGAAACTTTATGGTGTCTTTCGTCAGATCTTCCCGTTTTCTCTTCACCCTTCCTGTTACCACTAGTAGGTAGATGCTGGATCTCCTACAATTATTTTTCAATTTTCTTTATTTCATCCTTCATATCGTCCACCTCTGACTTTTTGGTTCTACTTTCTGATTAAATTCCATGACTTTATTTTAAAAACTTTCTACTTAAAGTATTTTTTTGTCATTTTTTATTATCTTTGAAAATTTTCTTCAGCATCCAGCATTACCTTTGTTTCTCTGAGATCCCTTTCTTTGTTGGTTTGGTCTGTGCCTTTCATACTGAAGACTTCTTCCAAATATCTAGCTATCTCTGACTAGCCATTTATATTCAAGACTAGAGCAATTAAAGGTCTAGAAGCTGCCTAGAAACTGGGAGAGCTTATCAACTGGTGGCCCTTGCTATAGGATGAGATGAAGCCCAGGAGAAATTCATGCCATGAACAAAGAGCTTGCTTCGGAATACTCTGTACTGCTGCAATCTCCCTGGGATCAGTCGGGTTCTCTAATTCTTCAGCCTTCTGACTCACAGAAAAAGGGGAGGGAGATGCCTGAGTGCAGGCATTCTAAGAAAGTAGAGTGTGGGCCTAGAGGCTTATTCTTTAGGGCAATTACTTACCCCTTGATCATTCTGTTTTCAGTCTTAAGCCTTAACTCTGTCCTCCACTCTTACCTCCAGGATGAGGTTTCCGACATTCTACAAGGGTAGAGAGGGCTAATGTCCAGCCTCAAGAATAAGAAAGGTAGGGTACTTGGCAGAGTTCCTGTGATTCCTTGCTGAGAATTTCAACCTGATCTCCTATTTTCATGGAGATTTATGCCTTAGTCCCCACCTTCAAAGATACCTATTGCCCTGAGTCATTCCCAGACTTCCTCTTTCTTAGTTACACCTTTTATTTGTTGGTTGTCATTTTGGCAGGTTCCAGGGACAGAATAAATATATATTGTCATATTCAAATGACAGTGTCCTACAGACAGTCTACTTGAGCCACTTGGGTTGTTTTTAAATTGGTGAGTTTGCCACATGGTGCCAGACTGACCTCTTCTCAATCCTGAGTCAGGTCAGTGGGTTTGAGTTTTGTCAGTTTTGTTGATTCATTTTACTTTGTAAGAGGAACCCTTTAGATCAGCAAATGAAAATAACCATCACACAAATCTTACCAAATTTATACCATTCTACTCCCAGTCCCCCACTCCCACAACCAAGAAGATTCAATATACAATTTCCAACATACAGTTTGGTGAAGTTAGTTCAAAATAGCCGAAGTCAAATCATTAAACTTTACATGGGCCACATTACCTTAAAGTACTGTGTGATGGTATATAAAATGTAAAGAAAAAGACTTCCCAAATAAACTGACATATATTCTTGCCATACAACTAGATGGTCAAGGTACATCACCTGGAAATCACTAATTCTAATGCAATTTTTGAAAGCTTCACATAACAGGGTTGAAAGTAACAGACATTTTATTTTTACAGTTTTGTTTACAATTGTCTCCCTTCCCAAGAATTTACAGAAATTCCTTTAAAGATTAAAGAGAAATCATTCTTCCCCTCATGAACACAGTTCCAAGAGGACTCTTAGTCACAAGCTCAGTATTGGCCAACTTGGCCTTTTTGAAAACCAGTACACTTTCAACTTTTAATGGTGAGGGGAAATCCTCTTGCTCATTCGCATCTAGAGATGTGATTGTTTTCAAAATGTTTGCTCACAGATGAAAACATATAACAAATTATTAATTCCTAACTAATTAGGAATTCCTAATTCCTAAATAAAAATAAACATACAAAATATATTTTTTAAGGGTAAAGTAAGTTTAAGCATCAAGCCAGTAATAGCAATGATGAGTGATAAACACTGTTGATCACTAAGGACTCTTATTTCACTAACTGTAAAACGTCTCAAGCACCCAGACAAGGCAGAAGCTTCAACAGCAGAGTGCACATCCTTCTGCCAGTTTGTAAGTTGGACAACAAACATGAATTAAACATATTTGATAACCCCTCTGCCACAAAATAATGTGGTTTTGTTTGTTCTGAAGACAAGACATTCCTTCAGTGCAAGAACAGACTGACAACAGACAGTCAAAGGGCCTGTAGCAGACTGTGAGCAAAAACAAAGCGGACTCTGAACGAACTTGATGTCACAGCCTACAAGAAACTGAGCCCAGGCTCCAGCTCTTTTAAGTTGTTTTTGCTCACACAGCAAAACTGGAAACATGAATCCAGAGACCAGGAGAACAGCAAGGGAGAAGTGTACTATGAATTGATGCACTTTAAAGCAATACGTCTTTGTTATGCTCAATGATGGTTTATAAAGGTAAATGGCAAATAATCATTTATGTTAAACAAGATATGTCATCTCAAAAATGGAAGGATACCTGCTGTGTTCGATGCACACACTTAACAGCCATCCACTTTTGCTCAGAGCTGAAAGGGTATTCTGCTTTTCTAATATAGTCCTGTTGAAGTCCATCGAGACCCATCTATATGGCACAAACAGAAAGTTAATTCTCACCAACATGTGACTGTTTTCTCCTTGAACAAAGAAAAAGGGTCACAACATGTAGCTAGGCCGGCTAGAGAAACCTAGGTTACTGTTTAAACACTGGTGATGACTAGTCTCTATGCGCTGTGTTTCCCTGGCTAACAGCACACATGCTCAACATGAAAGCCTGGGTGTGGAGACACGGTCCCAGGTGTTCTATCTGCAGTGTCTACACACCAAATCTTAAACACTGACTAAATTTACTCTCTGCTGGCACAAACTGTGGAAGGAAGTAGGACAAATAAATAAAGGTACCCAACCAATATTGGGCATATGTAATCAACAGGAGCTTCAGATTCCTCACTTCTTAAGATTCGAATCTATCTTGCCTACTGCCGCCACCCACCCTACAGTCCCTTACACAAGGTCACTTGATATTCTGACGATGACCTAGTTCATATAGCTGTTCTCCCTCCCAGTACCCTTTTCATTTTCCTCCAAACAAGTCAGAAAACATTTTTTAAATACTCAAAAAACTCAACTTACTGATTTCTATTGTCTACTGAAATGGTTCAGACTCTTCCTCTTGGCTTTCACAGGTCCCCGAGAAACCCACCACATAGCCTATCTGAGATCCTGCTGGCTCTACACTTCATTCAGGTTAATCAATTCATGAGCCACAATCCAGTCTATGCTATTTATTTCTCCATGCTTTTATTCGTGCTCTTTCCTGGGCTTACCTCCTATCTAAACCTTTCTTATCCATCAAAGCCCAGATTCCAAGTCTGGATTTGCATTGTTCTTATATGTGGCTCAATATTTGGGAGTTAACTGTCCATCTACTACTACCTTGGTCTGCCTTTTATTTGTTCAAAGCTTGTTGGTGTTAACTCCCTACCTAAAATATCAGGTCTCCACCCACATGAAGATGGTTTCACTTTCTTTATCTCTCAAAGACATAAAAGTTTAACTCAATAAGTACTTGTTAACACATTCAGCTTTTGAATATCTTTTTAAAAGCTATACTATGCTATTTTAGTTACAAGGGGAACAAATGGTAATGAAATGCAGCTTTCTGTTATGGAAATACACATTGTAAAAAAAAACAACTGTGTTTTATTAAACATGTTATTAAGAACCTACATTTCTATACTGGATACTCAATTCAAGCAACCTCATTTAGAGGCATTCTGTTTCACACCAGTCTGGAGGTTTTCTAAGACTGCTTGTAAAAGTAGGAGTTTTAGTTTTGTTATGGGAATAACAGATTGGACTTTGAGGTTTCTCATTTAATCAAATGTAAGACTTAGGAGAAGAGATCAACTGGGATAGATGACAGGGTCAGTACAGTACTAAGAGCAAGTATCCCATCTCCCCAACACAAATTTTAAGTATATAAAAGAGGAAAAGGGAAGACTGGGAAAAGAAAAGCTTATCTCAGAATGGCCTTAACATCTTTACATGGAAATACTAAAGAATTTGCTTTCACTCATGTGAAAGTTAGTATTTATCAGCAATTACACACATTTATGAAGGCTGCCATATAAAACTCTAAATATTATGGAAGATAGGAGCAATGTACATTTTTTCACAAGAAGAAATTCATCACTGGTCATCAGTTTGTACCTTGAATATAAGGAATCAACTTTATACGGAAAAAGCTCTGTGCTCTAGTATTTCCAGGAAGAATAAAACTGGTTCCCAAAAGCCAGTGAAATACTATGAGTTTTCTTCACTCTACACGTAAAAACCAGTAATACAGAAACTGATGGCCTCACGCTCTCTTGTGAGGATGATGCTCCTATGTCAAAGAAGAGATATCAGGCACATACCTTCATTGCAAGAGCAATTAAAGCTCCTTCTGTTGGCTTCCCCATTAGAGTGTTGTTTCTAATTACAGCATCGTTGCACACACAGCCCGCCTGAGAGAAAGACACATAAGCTATGAACCCATCACTATGTCCTAAGTCATGAAAAGTCTCTTTCTTAGAGAATCAAGTAGTCACCTCAACAATTCTGCTGACAGCCGGGCTGTAGAACCCATGGACAACATCACCATCAAGGACCACCTCCCCAAAAGGATTGTAGCCAACTCCAGTGACCTACGGGACACAAGGAGGGTCACATACCACCAGCAGAGTCACACTATTCATGAAAACCAAAACCTACGATGAGCATTTTATACATCATGACACTTCAGCACATATACCTAGAAAAGCATTTACATTTACCTAAAAGAACATCTGCTAGTTAAAGAAACATAGATTCAAATTTCCATAATAAACCTAGTTAGCTATACAATGAATTATATGAATTATAACAATGTACAACATATTGTAAAAATAATTAATGAAACTTAATATTATTGATATCTTATTTCTATTAATATACTATAAAAAAGAATAAACCATGAAAATCTCTATGCATAAGTGAACTTAAATTTATGCAATTCATTTATATAACTATAATTTGCTAAGAACTCAAACCTATTACTGTATCTAACATTCGTGACAAGCCTGTAACCTAAACAAAAGCAGAATTCTTCTTGTAAATAAACAGGCTCAGAGCCAGTAAATGATTGACCCTAGCATTTACAAACTACTTTCACACAACATATTACATGCCAATTTTAAGAATAAGAGGTAGAAACAAGCTGGATACTTACTCTGTATGGCTAGAACAAACCAAGTCAAGCACAAAGTTAAATTTCACAATAAAAATAAGACAGTTTATAGAATTAACAAAGGATTAATGCTTAATATGTAAAATTATGGGCTTTACACCAAAGGGGAAACATACCCAACCTTCTATACCTGGACTATGAGCACATGTAACCCCAGTGGCCCTCCTGAGTCACCAGAAAGGCACCTTAAACCACATAGCACTGGGTATCCTTATCCAAATCTAACACCCCAAGTATCAATGCTCTCATTTAAGGCCTGTGCAGAACGAATTAAATAAGCCTACTTACAACTGATGTTAAATAGCTAATGCTTACTTTGCTTGGTGAATTAGCAGCTGTAAATACATTTGAAATTATGGTACCCATCATAGTAATGTGAAAGAGCATCCCAGTCACAAATTCTGCCAAGACTAGGTAAGACTGGAACTTGCCCTCATCCAGCCTCAAATTAACCAGTGCATACCCACTGACATGCACTTAAGAGTTGGCCAATATATCATTTTTATAAATAAAGTAATCCATCCATTTATTCATTAAATGAGAATTTCATACTATGTGGCAGGCTCTTTGCTAGGCAACATGTGCTAGGGACTATTACAACTTATAACAGGAAGAGGGGCAGAAAATTTTACCTGGTCTAAGGACCAAGAGGTATAGAGTGCTGTGAAACATGAAACACAGGACCAGCTCTGGGTGGTCAGCAAAGCTTTTCCAAAGAAATGAGGTGGAAACTGACAAAAAGGGGAAGCAGCATTACATAGTCCTAAGTAGAGCAGCAAAGATCCCAGAGGAAGAGGAGTATTGTCACACCTGAAGAGCCATGAGCCCAGTGTAGTTGGTGCACAGAAAGCAAAGGGGAGCATGTGAGGCTGAAGGAAATAAGGGACAGTGTATGTAGGGCCTTGAGAAGGCCACACATCAGGATCCAGATCAGAACAGAAATCCAATGAAGCAGCTTAATTTCGGGAGTGACATGATCAAATTTGGTTTTAAAGATCCCTCAAGATGTATATAGAGCAACGGCATCAAGAGTTTGGTAATGAATGGATGTAGGGATGATTGAAGAGAGGTGTAAAGGAAGATTCAACATTTCTGGACTGTGCAACTGGCGCGTACAAGTGGCATGGGATCAAGACTTGGTAGAAAATCACACAGGAAGGAAAAGGCTCTACTGCTGGCTAACTTAGAGCCCTTCTCTGAGCCTAAGACACCGGGGCCATTAGGAACGTTCAAAGCTAGGTTTCCGAACAAAGGAACACTGTTGCTCAAAAAGAATCTATATAGAATACCTCAGCATGCAGACCATCTGAAGTAAATATGTGAGTAACAGTCATTTCATTCTTAGTCAGTGTTCCAGTTTTATCTGAACAAATCACATTACAGCAACCTAAAGAAGAAAACATTATATATCACCAAGAATCAAGGAGACATTCAAGTTCACAATGAGATCAAATCAGTCAGTCTGGAAGCCAGTCCTGCTTCTCTGAATTTTGTACAAAATCAAGCTCAAAACCTGATAATTGTAGATGGTTTTCTCTCAATGTGTTTACTTCATCATAAAGTAGTTTCTAAAATTAAAATACATACTGATAAATGTTGTTTTATTTATTTACAGTTGAATTTCTACAAAGCTACTCATTATTAGCTTTATATAATAATTTTATAATACACTTTCTAGAAAATTTTGAAGATACCTAAATATAAGCCCAGTTTTATCAGTCTATATTTTAAGATATTTTGCCCTCGCAATATTAAAATGCAAACTAGAAATTAAATTCAACATTTTTAAATTGCTAAATTAAAGTTTCACAGTATAAAGTTAGCACAATTTTCTTATCATACATGAAGTTATGTTATAGCAATCAATATATCTATTGCTTACTGTTCTTTTCAGCAAATTTAACTGATTTAGCTAAATCTAAATATAAAATAGATTTTAATATCTATTAACTTTATCAATTATCTTTCTTGAGATGTCAAAAAAATTCTATTAATTTTACTCAAGTTTGTTATATAGATTTTTTATATGATTTAAGTATCAGAACATTCCATGATGCAGTAAGACTTCTGTCAAAGTCCACTATCCTGAGTGATATGCACTTTTAATTATATCTTTTGGTTATTAAAAGATTATTCAATATTGCACAAGCCAAACACCATTAGGTACACCTCTAAGACAAAACTGTGAAACTCAAAGATGATTCAACATTGATGTAAACTAAACCCATCATTGTGTAAATATGCTCTTACCACAGACTTACCCAGAGTTTCAACAATAGGCAGCTTTTTCACAATGGCCCTTTTCTTCACCATTCTCGTAACACCAAGGGCTAGAGTAACTGTGACCACAATGGGGAGACCTTCAGGAATCGCTGCTACAGCCAAACTACAACCAACATATACACAGCATTGACATATGAATTAAACAGTACACCACAGCAATAATTTCAGTTGGCTTTACTTAAAAGAGGCTAATAAAAATGCAAAATTACTACTGTCAACACCCAAAAATGCCTTCAAAAAGAAGGGGAAATTGAATAACATTTAGTGGACATCTACTAGATGCCAGCTTAAGCATAGTGGGTTAAAGAACATCAATATAGGTTCTGACATCAGACTGCATAGAATTTAAACTAGCTTCACTATCTTTACCTATGTGACCCCAAATTATTACTTCACCTGTGTAGTTTAGTTTCCTCATCTATAAAACTACTGTTATATGCCACAACATGAATGAACCTTGTAATTATTATAAGTGAAAGAAGCCAGACCCCAAAGGACACATACTGTATGACTGCATTTATAGAAAATGTCAATGGGCAAATCCATAGAAACAGAAGGCAGTTTAGTGGCTGCCAAGGGCTCAGGAGGAGAAAGACTGGGAAGTGACTGTTTTAGGGGTGATGACAAAGCTCTGACACCGTTAGTGGTGATGGCTGTACAACATTATGAATGTAATTAACTCCGCTCAATCGCGTATTTTAAAAGGCAATTTTACAGTATGTGTATTTTAGTACAATAAAAAATTAATTGCTTCAGAACAGATTAAATCTCTGGAGTTTTTGTCCCTTTCCAAGTATTAGCTCTTAACTCTGCTACACATAAGGATATATGCATTCTTGTTCTTCATTCTCACACTGTTCCTGCATCCCAAGTTCTGTTACTTACTATTCTGCATGATCTAACTTGGTATCATCAGTATCCTGTTCTATAGCCATAACTAACTTTTTCATGCTTTGTTTACAGGTTGATTATAAAAGCTGAAAGCCAGTGAATAACATTCACAAACCATTAACTGAACAGTCTTTACTGAAGTCAGAAAACAGGTGCTACTATTAATACTTCTTTTCTCTTTTGAACTATTCTAAGTTAAAATAGAATCCTCTTTTCTTATGCTTCCATTAACCCTCAATTTAACAGGAAAAATAGGCCAGATCATTTACAATGTAGATCCAATGGACCTTTTCATTCTTTTATATATAAGTCATTTTATAAGTAATTTGCAGAGGAATAAGTGGATTGTGAAAAATTTTATTAGAAATTTTCATCTGAATTTTAACCCCAAACTATGTCCCTAGATTTGAAAGTATATATATCTGAAATGGGCAACATACTTTGGATACAACTAACTGCTTATCAGCTGCCCTGAATGAACTTGGAACATATTTACCTTGTAAAGTGATTCCAAACTCAAAAAACATTTCTAACAGGCTATAGGCTTATAAATTCTAGTCCCCCTTTCTGCATTTGTTTCTTCAGAATGCAGTTTAATAAATGCTTATGATTCATGACTTTGTTGAAAACAGGACAGTTATCTTAACATAATTGCAAAACATTTTCATTTTTAGAGTTACAAACACCAATTACAGTGGCAAATTAATTTTTCTTTTTGTGTCATCTATTTTCTTTTATTCATCTTTATATTCATACCAGCCTTCAGCATTTCTATACTTATAAATGGTATGAAGCAGATGTGGGTAAACAAGTATCATAAAAGGCGAAAGAATACCACCATGTATCTTTTAGCAAAAGGGGTGGTCCAGATCCTTGGCTGGAAAAGACTGCATGACTTCCTTGCTGTAGAATGCCTAACTGGGAGAGAATACCTGTCCTTCCATATCTGTCCTTAGAAATACACTGCTCCCTAATTAGCTCAGGAGTTTGGGGAAATTGAGAGTATCACCACCCAAGGACTCGCGGTGCTGAGGGTTCTCTTCCATGTTCAACTTCACCCTCACCATTAGAGCCTACAGTGGTGGTTCTTTATCTCTCTGCATTCATCTTCTGGTTTGTTTAATTGTGAAAATTCTGTCAATTATTCTCTGTCACTGAGATAGAAAATGAAAAATTCTGAATTCTCAAGTTTTGTTTAATGAATTAAAAAAAAGACTATAAATGTTGTGTCTCCAGACCTCTTTTATATCTTCTTAAATGATGATGCAATATTTTGGGCAACATAATAAGAAAATAAAAGGATAATACAATAGTGATGACTGACTTTATTATTACATCAGCCTTACAAGCAATCCCACCATGCTAGTTTTCTTATTGTTTTACTCATTTTTGCCATAATTGGAAATAACTGTTAGGTCAATGAAATAGCTATATGTTTCAAGACATAGTTCAACTAAGGTCAGCATGATTCCATAATGTATCTTAGATATGTAAGACTACAATGCATCCATACTGAAAAATAGAATGGATTTTATTTTATTAAAATATTTTTAAATGTTTTATTCTTTGGAAGACTTTAAAGTATAAACAGAAGTCATGATGTATCAATCTTCATAAACAGAACTGCTCAAAAGAAACTCAAACTAAAAACTGACAGATGATATGTCAATGGTTATGAAATATATGAAATATATTCTCCATTTTAAAATGATTTCATATTTAACCCAGGGCTTTTTAATACAGATTTAAACCAAGAGTTTCAAATTGTACTTTTGTCCCTCTGAGGAATAATATACTCCTTCACCGTATCACAAATATCTTTAAAGTTCTTACTCATATCCTACCTATTCCTTGTAATCCATTGATTTTTCTTCTTTTATCCACTGATGTTCTTACACTTGAATTACCATTTGCTAGACCTACTACAGAGCTGCCATCCAGGATTCCTTCTCCTTAGATGCCTACGTTGAGTTCCACTCCTTACACACATCACCATCTTCCTTTTACTCCTTTTGCTGGAATTCATTTTCTCATCACTTGCTTTTTGTTTGTAATTAATTGGATGGATGCTTTGGCTACGCCTAAATTTACTGACTTGAAATCATTTCGCTCATACTCTGATAGTACTGCCCCACTGTCTTTCAGTGTAATCCAGTGTTGTAGTGGATGATGGGTTAATAAAATCCTTTCTCCTCTGTAGTTAAGTCCCCAACTCTGTCTCCCTATTGACTGATATGGGCAGGATGTCAACTATGTTGCTGGGCAACATTGCTGGTGACAAACGATCTGCTGACTGATAAACTGTCTATGGACTGGAAGAACGTACTTATCTTACAGCTTTGGGTTTCCTAAGTGTAGGTGACTCTACTAACTGCACATTTCTTGCAGGCACCCTGGAGAGTTATGTTTCCAGGGATGCTGGTTCCTATGGAACACGAGACATTTTAAGCCCTGGCAGCGCCCACACTCACACAGTCCTCTCACGTTCTTGTTCCCAGGAGGAACTGCTGTACAGACTGCAGCAAGGACTCTTGGGAGAGGGATGCCTGAAGCTGCCCTGCCGTGTTCAGGGCACAGGGACCAGATATAACCCATCAAACCTTGGGAACTGAGATGTCTGTGAGCTAAGAAGGCCCCACAGTGAGACCTGAAGCTGTTAATGAGATGTCTGGTACCAGTCTAATTCCCCTTCCTTTGTAGATGACCCGACTTATTAAACAAGCATGTATCTAGGTTGGAGTATTTTTCATCCTGCTTGGCATCTGTAGAATCCTTTCAAACTACAAAAATTTCACATCTTGTTTCAGATTGAGAAAATACTAATGTATCACTTCATATATAATTTCTTACTTGTTTTTGAAACTCCTATTAGTTAGATGTGTTATTTATTTATTGAGTTATTCTCCCAGTTTGATTACATTTTGTTTTGGACTTTTTGCTCCATTTTGGAGGGAGACCTCTTCAACAACATAAATAGCCCTTAAATTAAATTTTCTATGTCAGCAATCATAAACTTAATTTCCAAAATCTTTTTTATTCTGTGACCCTTTTCTACAATAATCTGTCCATCTATCATGAGTATAGTTTCTTCACAAATCTCTGAAAATACAAAATTCTGTGTTTATTTTTTTCTTCTAGTTCTTGTATTTTTCATTTTCCTCTGTAGCCGACTATTCGATTTCAATATTGTGATCTTTCTCTTTCATGTTTTCAATTTGGCAATCCTTAATTATCTATTTATATATTAAAATGTAATGCTGGGTTGATAATATAAGACATCTAGTATAGGTTTTCAGTTTCCTAGAGTTTACATCAATATATAAATTCTGAACTATTTAAATAAAGATATTACATTCTAAAGTGTTCATATAACACTTCTGTAAGGGAACACTAGCTATACCTATCAAAGAAATAACTCAGGCAATAGACACTTTACTTTACAAACAAATATCAGAACTTACCTTACACTAATGGTAAACATTTCCAGGATATCTTTTCCTAGTAACCAGCCAACCAACATGATGATACCTGGAAAGAATCAAATAGCTATTTTCCCTTTTTCTATAAAATCACCTAGGCACAGGAGGGATAAATAATAAGCTGAGGACAGCCAAAAAGTCCCTTGATATACAAGATAAAGTATATCAGATAATGATTGTAAGATTTTATAAAAACTCACGAAGCCGGGGAGACTGAAGTTAATGCTGCCTAAAGTTAATGCCGTATATGTGCGCGCGCACGCGCACACACACACATTTTACCTTTTCTTGCCATTGCTACCACCTGTCCCTTAAAGCAGTAACATATGAGAGTTACCAATATAAGAAGGCATTACCAGTATTTTTGTACAATGGGAAAAAATAAGACATATAGATCTTCTATTTTCTTACTATCAGCTTTGTAAAAATAAACCCTGGAATTTTACTTTTCATAATTCAATATCCAGACATTACACATTAAGTTTGTACTGTAAACAAAGGAATACTTAGGACTTGACTAAAAGAGTGAAGTCACTTACTCAATACATATAAAACTGCATGAGCATTTAAAAATTACTACTTTTATGGCATTTAAAAATAAAATCAACATAAATCAGAAAACTGACTCCACACTCTCTGTTTAACCTTTGTATTTGAAAAGAATGGGAAAAGGGATGCACCACTGGTTTTGTGAGGAAAAGCACAGTATTACCAGTTTCAATAAAGTAAAGCAACTTTGAGATTATATTCTAGATAAATATGTACATTGAAAACAATCTTTTCATCTTTCTCTTAACTACAAAATAATGATCCAGATCGTGACCCTGTAAGATCATATCCCAAACTGTTATCTGACTAAAGAAATTACGTCCAGTGAGATATACCAAGGATCAGCAAACTACAATCTATAGGCTTCCTGCATGTTTCTGTAGTCTATTCACACAGCCACACCACCCATGTTTGTGGATTGTCTATGCTTGCTTTCATGCTGCCAGCAGAGTGGAGTATTTTCAATAGAGACCATATGGGTCAAAGCATAAAGTATTATTAGCTGGTGCTTTACCAAAAAGTCTGCTGACCCCTAATTTTGATCTTGACCTATCCTAACCCATATACTATCCTAACAAAAAAACTTATGTCAATACACAATATTAAAACCAGGTAATTATAAACTTGAAAGGATCTTTATCTAAATTTGAGATGGTTTCATAGTGTATTGTTAATATAAACTGGGAAGACTTAATTGACTAAATGCCCTTTAATTTATCAAATTCACTATAAATTCCAGAAAATAATTAGCAATAATCAAATGACGGGACCTAGCAGAATACACACAGCAGTTAAACAAGAGGAATGAAATACCTTCTACCTTCTGATGAAGATAAATGAAGCAATAAATCAGTATTTAACAAATTATTTCACTGAAACTGCATAAAAGAAATATTCCTTTAAAACGCATTACTGATTTTAAAACATCAAGGTAGCAAGAATAAAATAACATCATTGAAGAATTAGAGAAAAGGAGAGGAGCCTCCAAAATTAAAGCAAGTGTTTAAATGATAAAGATGTCATTTCAACTCTGAATAAAGATAGCAGTGACATAACTGGGACAATTCACTTTTGAGTAAAAAGACTAACTCTACTGTAAGCCTTGTACTAAAATAAATTCTAAATAAAATAGTAAAATTAATTCTCAAAAATAAAAACTGAAGTAGTAGAGTGATATTTAAATGAATATACTTATATAAACAAAAATTTTCCCCATATAGGGTTGGGAGAGCCATTATGAACAGAAAAAAAGACAAAAACCTTAACTGCAGAGATTGGCAACAGAAAGGTATTACCAGAATCTCAGAGCACTAGGCTGTTTTAATTACACACATTACCCTTCTCCCTGCCAGATTTATTATATATCCCCGAAAGGCAATTTAAAAATTGGGACCAAAAATACTTGGAACTTCAACAAAAGGAATAATATACCAATTTTACAAAGAGCTGTTTACTAATCAAACCACAAGAAAAGAAGGGACAGAAGAAATAGATTTTGGCAGGTCATAAAATAAAAAGGACCAACATACATACAACAGAGTGTTCAAGTTTCTCTAAGAATGAATTGTGAAATAAAATAATGAGTCTTTAATTCACTGGCTAATGACAACAAAGGTGGCAAGGCTACTGGGAGAAATGCAGTTTTATCTTGCTGAGAAGGGTATTATTTGGCAATATGAAATAAGTGTTTATTAAAAAATTTTTCAATCACATGGATATTCTTTGACACAGTTTTACTTTCAAGAATTTATCCTAAGGAAATGAGAGGTATTTACAATAAGATACCTGCACTGAAGAATCATCATTTACATAACTTAAAACACAAAAAACCTATAAAATGTCTAAGAGAAGCCTGATATATATAGCAAAAAAATAAACATATTTACATGTATTGTAATATATGTTTTATATATATATATATGAGTATATATATATCACACACAGTTATGTGAAAAATACATATATATGTGATATTTTCCCCACAACAATGGAATACTATACAACCAGTAAATTTGTTTTAGGTAAGCATCTATTGCATGAATAGACATTTATAACAATACATGAAGAAAGAAAAGTAATTCATAAACTAGTACTATCACATTTTGTTGAAGACTAGAATGACAATTACTAAAATGTTTACAGAAATACTCTTTGGTTATAGGAATTATAGTGAGTTCTATTTTATTTTCATAGAAAAGGACAATGACTGGGGGTTAGTTTTATAATTCAAAAAAAGTAGTAGTAGTAAATTAAAAATGTAACTAAATGAAAAAACAAATTTATGTATGTATGTGCCTAAACTTCCCCTTTTCTCTAAAAAAGTTTAAATATTTGATATATATATACTCACTCTTCTCTTACCTATTATACCAAAGGAGTAAAAGGAAAGTTGTTTTCCTAAGAGGTCCATGCTCTTCTGCAGAGGGGTTTTTGGTGCCTTGACAAATTGGAGAAGAGTGTCACCACAAGTAGCTAAATGTAGATCCCTGACATACCCATGACATACCCTTAACGTACATGTTACCCCTTCACTGAGAACTAAGGCTGAGACTTTCAAAAGCCTATTTATTTAAAAAGGTCTGTGCTCCCTATCCCACTGTTTGAAGGAAATATATTCTCTCTATCAGCCTCTCTAGGACTTTGTTACAACCAGCTACTCATCAATTTTCCAATCTTTCTTCTTTCTATATCCACAAACATGCTTGTAACCCAAGTAATTTTATCCTGTTGGCTCCCTGATCTGCTGACAACCTTCTCTAGGAGTTCCATCACTGCCAAGCTTCTTGGAATGGTTTCACACACATTGTATCACACATACTGGGGGAAATTCAAGTAATTTGGGGATAATATGACATTTGTAGAATACAACTTTTTTATGTATACCAAAGTATGAGAACTAAATCAAATTCCTTAAACAGGAGTATCTTCCAGGGTATTTTACTCTGCAATCCATGCCCCCCCAACCCCACTCCTTACTAGGGAGTTATTTAAAATTGGGGATTTTGATAGAAGACATGTTCTGAGATACAAATATACCAATTAGTAATCTTAAACATTTATATGATGAAGCTAATTTCTAAAAAGAGTAAGGCCTACATATAAGTGGCTATAAACCTTTTCTCCCATAAACAATGAATAAATACCAAGATATTTTAGAATATTGACAGTGTCAATTCAAGCTCTTCCAGTTATGTCTTTAACAAAAACAAATGAATGATATTCTAAATATTACTTTCTATAGTACATAAGAGTCTACCAATATGTTCTTTACCTCTACTTAGAATAGGAATTTCAGATTTGAAATGAATACATCTTAACAAACTAAGTACTCACTTCTTCTGCTTGCATCATTTTAAAAACCTCCCCAAATTCAGAATTTTCTCCTGTTCCAATGACAACACCCTGAAGAGAAAAACAGGAAAATAGATTTACATGCAGAAGAAGCATCTCTCAAAAACAGAAGCCCTTCATCCCCTTTCTCCAAAGCCTGCCCATAGTCAAGACGTCCGACACACAAGGTTCCTTTAGCAAACTTACTTTTCAATGTTACTTTAATATTTATGTCTTATGATAAAAACACTGAAAACAAACATTAAACTTACTATACTGACTTAATTCTGAGGCCCACTTTTTGTCTCTCTTTGTATCTCTGAAATTTGAATGTCTTACATTCAACAGAGACATTCAATGTAGTTTCTTTTTCCCCACACACATGCTATTGAATGATGCCTTTTATATTTGTGGAATATCAGACTCCAGGAAACAAAATATTTGAAACCAATCATTAGGCAAATGATATGTAGTCAAAATAGTATAGTCAATATCATATCAACTAAATTAAAATTTTACTTAACAAGTAATGAACATATCCATGTGTCACTGTTTCTGTCTAAAAAAAAAAGAACAGGTACTGAGGTACTAATGTAGGTAACTACATTATCTAGTACATGGCAGAACTACATACATATTAAACCTCAGGAGCATAGCTTCATAGTTTCACAAATAACCTGCCAAGCATCAGGCTCAATTCTGTCCTTTCTTTGTCAGATATTTTTAAAAGATCCATGTAAAATTAGCAAAACAGAATTGAGAAAATGATTGAAAACAAATGAACTGCTATTTTCAAGAAAAGAAACAACAATTACCTTTGCTTTGCCACATCTGACCAGTGTCCCCATGAAGGCAATGTTACTTCTTGAGGCAAGGTCTCCATTAGTCGCGGCCAGCTGAGGGGCTGTCACCTTTGAACAAGGTGCAGTCTCTCCCGTTAAGCTCGACTCATCAATGGAAAGGTCCACAGCCTTGGGGAACAGACAGCATGTTTCTACGTTCAAGTCTGAAGACTCTCTGTGCTACATTTAACATCTGAAAAGTGTAACCATTACTTCTTCCTCAATTATCCGCTTTCTATTAATCACCCAAGCCTTTCATCACATCCATTACTCTAAGACAGAAGACCACAACCAGTACAACTGTATTTTAAAAGGAAGTTAAGTCAACAAAACCCAACATGCAAAATACAATGCTGAATCATGAGACAAGATTAGCCCAAATTTCCAGATACAACTAGAGAAAAGGAGATACCAGCTATGACTTAATCTTAACCTAGAGAAAACTCTACTCTTGTAATTAAATAGTATTTTCTAATTTTGCCACATCTTCAAGTTCTGAAAATGTGTTCGGCAGATTAAAACCAACTGTAACAGAAAGGGAAGTGTGAATGAATGATGTAAAAGGTTCTGAAAAAGAAAGCATTTCATCATTTTGGGCTCAACATTCAAAAACTTCTACTTGTTATATATATACAACTGTATTTATCCCAAATGTACATTAGTAAGAATCAAGAATGTATACATATATTTCCATGCACATCATGAGTATCATCATCTCCAACTCGGCAGCAGGTTCAATTCTGTTTCATTCCTAACAGTAGTCACTTACTCAAACATGCAAAAAAAACCCTTAATTTTGTATGTGGAGAACACTACAGATGTGACCTGGTTTTGCTTCTGAAAGTATGGCCCACAGAACAATAGTTCCAAGGATGTTAACAGGCATTGTGTATAATGTGACACATACCAAAAAGAGGCATGCCATTTTTAGCACAATAGCAATCAAACTTACCTAGTGTACAAACTGATACAGAAGAGAAAGAGGCTTTAGACCCTTATCTTTCAGTTTATAATTATAAATTTGTAGAACTTAAAGTATCAAGAATACATTATAGATAAAATTTGTCTAAATAATACAATGTAGCAAACTGCATAGATCTCAACTGTCTGTTGAACAAGGATATTTCCTAATTACAAGTTATTTTCTCTTAATGGTGACTATAAGAGATTCCGCAGGAAGTAGTTTTGAGGGAGTGAGGAGAAAGAGGTCATTTCTAAGGGTGGTATTTGATAAACTAGGCAAGCCTACTACAGTTTAACAAAGTGGCAATTCCTCTGAGAAAAAAGATATTAGAGCCACTTATCCATTGTATTCCTGAGAAAGATAAGAAAATAAAAAGAAATCAAAGCATCAGCCAGCTCCATGCCTTCCAGCCAAAAGTTTGAACATTAAACCTTCAGAAAGTCTATTAATGTACAGGGAAGGTGATTATTTCACTTTCTCTTCATTCTTCCTCAAGCTCTCTGGTGGAGGTGTAAGACATAACATAGTTCCGAAGTCAAAATATAAGAATCAAGGTACATACATAATCCACAAACTGAATATTTAGCGCACCTATATAACAAAAACTGTTGAAAAAGATTCACAGAATTATTGCTACAGAATATTAGGCAGAAAGAAGGTAAATGCCAAAGTCCCAAGGGTTTTCTAAAAAGCAGAAAGTGGATGCTTTAAAAAATTACAGTTAATATGGAACAACTGGCAACTACAAATAAGTTCTTAAACTAAGAAGTTTGGTATACTGTATTCTGCTATGTTAGTTTCCTCTTCAATCCAGAATCAAAAGCAAATCAGAAATGTAATTCTTTCCCCATAAAAGAATCATCCAAAATATTCATCTGCAGCTGTCTGATCACGATAAAATTTCTTACTTCTCTCAAAAATCAAGATTCCTCTTACTGTTTATTCAAATGAAGGCAAAGATAATTAAAAACTCTTCATAAGCACCAGCTTATTAAAAATCAAAGCCCACCCAAGTGTTATAAATTATTTAAAAGGCTACATGAAATGGATATTATCCCATGGTAAATGCTTAAATGCATTGTTAACTTTCTGACTTAAGTGCATAGATTCAACTTGATCAACTTGCCAATAATATAAAGGCCAGCAGCATTCAGTTAACAATGATTTCTACTATAACTCACCAAGCCTGTTAAAAAACTCAAATTTCAGGAAGAACTTTTGCCATGGGCCTTTCCTACCAATGTGAAATAAGAATCTCAAATCATCAAATCAAAGATGCTAAGTCTCACCTCCAACCGACCCATATCGTTTCTTTAAATTCTAGTGACTTATTGAGAAAAAATAAGTTTTCTCTTCAGCATTCTAAACATGAATAGCATTCCTCAGTTCCCACTGCTTTTAATCACAGAACTATAAAAATCAGATAACAAAATACTAAGCAGAGTTAAAGCTTACACAATCTAACAGAACCAACACTCTCAGGGCTGTATGTACAGAGTGGTTACTGAGCTGTATAGTGATAATACTATTACAGAAATATATATCCTTTCCAAAGTGAGACACAAGTAATTACATCAGTTTTTAGTAAATAGGAATGTTTCCACAATATACCTTACACCTTCTCCAACATTCTACTCAATTTCTTTCAACAGCTAATTTGAATCTCCACTTCCTAAGATGTTTATAAATAGCTCTTTTTTAATAAGTCTATAGCTTTATAAGTATGTAAACTTATTCATTCAGAAACTTTAAAAGCAAGTTTTAGTGGTAAATCACAGTAAGGGGGAGCAACATACTATAAATCAAATTTATCTACCAAGAAATACATTGAAATCAATATAAAAACTTATAACTCAGGAATAGTATCTCAGAAAATAGTGGAATAGGGCACTCAAAGAATTGATCCCTCCACTAAAACAATCCTAAGCTGGCAAAAACCGACAGAATTAACTATAGAATCAAAAAGTTAGAGCAAACAAGGGAGTGCTTAGGGAAGAAAGAGACGCCTGAATGCTGGTAAGAGAGCATTGCAGCATTCGCCTGTCTACCATCCCCATTCCCCAGAGAAGCAACACTGGCTGTGGGAAGGAAACTTACTGGTGTTCAGGTGGCTAACATGGATCTTGTTCATAAAATACTGTAGTTGTGTGTTTTAACCTGTCAGCAGTTCCCTGAGGGACTGGTGCAGAGGCTACCCTTTCTTTATTTCATACCCCCATCTAAACCCAGCTAGAGTGGCTTCCCAGGTATCTCAAGATTAAAGACATATACTTGCAGGCAAGGGACAGAGAACTGGGCAAGCAGCAGGTACATCCAAAAGATCGGGAAGGAAGGCATTGAGGCAGAAGTTTCTTCTGTGAATAAAGGTTTGGAGGGCTACCGTATACACAAGGAAGACAGAATGAAAAATGCATGACCAAGACCAGGTACATGATCAAAAAAGACCTGAGAGGGCAGGGTCCGGGGCTGCACCCATGTGCATCTATGGGTTTGGCACAAATAAGAAGTGAAGGTGAAGGCAGAGTTGCAGGCAGCTTAGCTCAGTGTTAAAGAAGTGCCCCAGCTCAGGCAAGCTACAAAGATTAAGAGAGTACCTTTTTGTTTTTTAACCTTTTGGCTCCAGACAGATCAGGCTGACTCCTGAGATAATGGAACAGAAACTTCAATAACCACAAACAACAAGGAACACAGTCTTTGTAAAAGTAATTTAGAAAAGTCACAAAACAAACTGGACCACTGCAGCCCTCAACAATCAAAACAACAAACTATGTTTTTGTAAAAGGAGGATCTGATGTACAGCTACAACATCGTAATATTCAAAAAACTGTTTGCAACAGAAAACTACAAAGAACACAAAGAACAGGAAAGTATGGCCCATTTACAGGAAAAATTAAATTGAGAGAAGCCATACCTGAGGAAAGGCCGGATATTGGACTTAACTAGATTTTAAATCAACTGCCTTAAATATGCTCAAAGAACTAAAAAAAATCTTGGTCAAAGAACTCAATGATATCAGGAATGCAAAAAATGAAAAAAAAGAGACTGTCAATAAAGAAAAATAAATTATGAAAAGGAAATAAGTCTTCATGCTGAAAGGTACAATAACTGAAAAGGAAAGTTCACTAGAGGTTCAAAAGCAGAATTCCAGTAGCAGTCACTACTTGAATAAATACCAATGCCAGCATTATTTTCAGTTTGTAACTCCTCTATTTTTTTCCATCTGATTTACAAGACAAACATATAAAATATTTACAAATCTATGTTAATGGGTACACAATGTATGAAGATGTTACGTGTGATAACAACATGAAGGTGGTAGAAAACTGTACTGCATAGGAGCAGTTTTTGCTTATTTAAGTAATGCTGGTATCAATTCAAACTGCATTGCTATACATGTAAATGTTAACTATAATCCCCACTGTTACCACTAAGAAAAAAAGTAAAAAACACACAGAAAAAGGAAGTGAGGAGTAATTAAAGTATACTTTTTAAAACATCAAACATAAAAAAGGAGAGATTGTGAGAATTGAGAAACGTAAAAAATGTTAACACATATAGAAAATAAATAGCAAAATAACAGAAGAAAGTCCTTCTCTAACAGTAATCATTTTATCACTTTAAATGCAAATGGTTTAAATTGTGTGGTATATCCATACAATACTATTTGGCAATAAAAACAATGAAGAACTGATACATACTACATGGATGAGTCTTGAAAACATGTTAATTGAAAGAAGGCAGACACAAATGTCTACTTAGTGTATAATTCCATTATAGGAAATGTCCAGAACAGGCACAAGTATACAGACAGAGCATGCAGATTAGCGATGGCCATACTCTGCAGCAGAGTGAGAGAGGACAGTGATTGCTGAAGTTTTTCTTCTGGGGAGTGATGAGAATGTTCTTCTACAAACAAGACTGGTGATGGCTGTACAACTCTGGATATACCAAAACCACTGAATGGTACATTTTAAGTGTGTGAATTGTTTGGAATGCAAATTATATCTCAATGAAGTTTTTTTTGTTATCTTTTTATATGTGGTGAATGGACCAGCACTTCTGACATGGGCTAAGCACTAGTCAGAAATGCAGAATCTCTGCCCCACTCCAGTCCTGCCAAAACAGGACCCATATTTTTCTATGGTCAGCATGTGTTGCTCTGTAGTAACTCTACATCACACTGAGAAAACTGAGGCTTAAAAATAGTAAGTGGCTTCCCTAAATTCACAGTCAGTTCGTTTCTTCGAATCAGAACTGTTTGTTCACAAGTTGGCATCGCCTAGTAGAAAAGGCATAAAGCTGTCTTTTTCACTGAAGTCTGGCACAGTTTTCTACACATGGTACTCAAATATTTACCAAATGGCTTACAAGACTTCATAATACAGACTATTTTCTGAAGAAGGGAAATTATATTTTGCCTAAATTAGCTTCATTATCAAAGTATATAAATTTAAAATATCACTACATGCTTGTATTCTGAAAAATGTTTGAGAAGATTCTTTTTGAAAAAGCATAGGAAACCAAATCAGACTCTGAGTTTTGTCAGAATACCAAGTTTTTCACTGAGTAAGTGGAAATGGATTTTGTAACTCAAGATGTCAGAATGCTCTGACAAAGTCTGTCCATTAGCTCCACTAACGGAGTTACCCAACTCAGAGGAAGCTGTTTACTAATAGTTCGTACCAAGTGTGTAAGAATATTAAGCCTTACCAAAAGGGATGTAATAGCTAAGTGAGGCTGCAGACCATCTCTGATTTCTTTAGTTGGTAGGCAGCCAAAGTATATCTGTGCTTGTTTAATCACACTCATCATTTTTGGTTTTTACCTGCCCTGGGAAGTAAGAACAGGAAGGATACCAAAATCTAATGAGCCAAAAGCTATCCTATAAGCAAGTACATGGACTCACTTGTGAGGTGAAAAGACCAACTGGCTTGTTTTAATCCGGACTTCTGAACTTGACAGCAGACGCTGGCTCCTAATGAAGATAATCTTTCTTCCTAGATTTCAGTGGTCTGGAAATCTAGTACCATAAAAATGGCTAGTTCTTGGCTCTCAGCCAGGTAAGTGGAACTTCTCTAGAAGCTAGATACATTTAGAAAATCATCATTATCAAAAATTGAATTAAAAAAAAGACAATTGTACCAAGAGACCTTGAAGACAGTTTCAAAGAATGCTATGGGCTAACAACCTTAAGCACATCTGCCGCTGAAGTGTCAGTGGAACAAATCATTCAGAACAAGTGAAAGAAAATATTGCTACTTTTCTGGCAATATTCTGGGATTGGAAAGTTATAGCTGAGAGAGGTAAAGTATTTTCAACAGACAAAAGAAACCCTCTTTTCCTCTGATTCTTATAAAAAATTCTTTGTTCAAATATTGATAGAGACTTTATCTGGAACAATATGGAACATATGCCATGTTTCCAAAAAGGCAAAATGTACTGTTATGCAGGCACAGTCTAAAGACTGCTTCATCTAGTTGCTGTCTGACCAATTGACTGGCCACCACCACTTAACTGACCATTGGTGCCTCTTCTCAAACACTAGTAAAAAAAAATTTTTTTAAACCTCAGGAAAAAAACTAGAAAACATTCCCACAGTTCAATTCCTCTATGTTTTACTATCCCAGCTCCATCAGCGAATCTCAGGCTCCTAAGCTTGGCTATAGAAAACTGACTCAGGCAAGAAAAGAAAATACAAGATTCCTTAAGTTACCAATATTAATTGTCTTTAAAAAGTGTTTATAGTCTTTTTGTCTTTACAGTCTTAAATGACAGTCTCATCCTGCCATAGACTGAACTGTGTCCCCCTAAAATTCATGTAGAAGCTTTTATCTCCAGTGTGATGGTAACTGGAGATGGGGTCTTGGGGTGATCAAGGCCAGATGAAGTCATGTTAGTGTGACCCTCAAAAAAAGTGGAATTAGTGACACTCTAAGAATAGGAAGACCGTTCTATGTGAGATACAGCAAGAAGGCTGCAAGCTGAGAAGAGAGCCCTTACCAGATACCAAACTCTGCGAGATCCCAAATGTGGACTTCCCAGACCCCAGAACTGAAAGAAATAAACATCTGTTTTTAAGCCACCCAGTCTATGCTATTTTATTTTAGCAGTCTGAGCTAACTTAAGACACAGCCTATGAGCAGACAATACCAGATAAAAGCTATCCAGCACTCAGCTGACTGAACATGCTGACAAGCGGCTATTGAAGGCCCAGGCAAGACCAATAGCTAAAATCAGAACCACTGAAGTTTGTGATGGGAACCCTAATGTTGCAGCACAGGGCCAAAGGGGCAACCTTGGCCTTGGCCAGGCCCAGGGGAGCAGAACTCTACTCGGAAGCCCAGGGCCTTGCTTTTTCTGAAGGGAAATCCACATCCTTTGTTTGAGAAATTAATAATATCCCAAGGCTAAGTGAGGAGTTTTCTGTTTCCTTTAAATTCTAATAAGTTTATTTCATGCACAAACATGAAATAACCAGCTGACCTTACAATATCATGCAAAGGTCACCATAGCCAAACTGAGCAAACAACACTACAGTAAGCCAATACAACTCCAAAACACTAGTAACCTCTGATCCAGAAGAGAAATCAAACTTAACACCATTATAATGTCTTAAGTCAGTATTTTTAAACCTAGAAACTGCACAAAGAGCCCAAAGCTTTTCGGAAAGTTATCTCAATGCTGTCAAAGTAGCTGCTTATGGTACCAGTAGTAGGTAAATGGAATAGGGCAGAAGAGTGATAGAGGAAATCAGACATATTCAACTTTATATATGTAAGAGTGGGTTACCTGGGCCAAGTCAACGTGAGTATGGCACTACCAAATAAAACAGGTACTAAAGAAGTAACTGAAAAGGTAACAAGTAGGAGGAAAAGAGTAACAATAAATTACTCCACAAAGAATATACTTCTAATTTTTATACCATCAAGCTTTAAAAGGTCAAAAATTCCCTCTAATTGAATTCATAGTAAACCTTCAATATATAATTTGCTAAGTGGATAAAATAAGTACCAATCCATACTCTGGTAAGTTTTTTTCTATTTCATGTGAACTTTGAAATAATTAAGTCTCAGATCATTAACTCTTATTTAAATAAATATCATAAGATACTTCAGCAAGCCAAATGATGTTTTGAAGATTCTATGTCATTACACTGCTCAAATTGTTCAAACAATGGGAAACACTATCTTCTGACCATCCCACTAGGGAGAACTGCTTCTAAACTGGAAGAGCAGCACTCCAGAATAAATGATGACATAAACCAACTCCATGAATTCAAATTAGGGTTCTTTGAGAGAGGAAGACATGATTTAATATCAAGTGCATCCAAGATGATTTTTACAAACCTCTAAGGAATAATCATCCAAGGTCTTTATAAACCAAATATTAGTGATAAGAGGATGGGAGAAGAAATGAGTAAAGAAGACAGAACAAAATTTATGGAGAGAAAACATAAAGGGAGAAAGTAATGAAGTAAAAATAATAACATTCCCAATACCTAATGTATTATCAATTATTTCCATTCACTGATTACAGCAATCTTTATCTTTCCAGGAATAAATCTTAAGCATTTGGGGGAAAGGGCTTTATTTCAAGTGTAAATGAAATTTGTTCTTATTATATAGTTCATGCACTTCCTCAGGCTTTCCATAACCTCTACTCGAGGACACTCATATTTGGGACATAGTAAGTAGCCACAGAATGACAGTTCTAGAGGGTTAACAAACAGCTAAAAGCAGGTGAGACTGGCATGCCAATAAGCTATGAGGGCTTATGAGACTAGGTGCTCAACTCCATTTTTCATCCCTTCCCTCTAGTCTACACACTGTGACCAGATTAAGGGTAACATCATATGCCAGTTGCATATGACCCTCAAAGCTAATTTCTAACCAATGAAGTCTGAAGTGGAACTTCATATCCAGGGTCCTCCTAAATCTGACTCCATCACACATTTTCTACCCTTCACACATTCTAGCCCCATATCACATCTTGGAACACTCACCATGATCTAACTACTGTTGTTTTACTATCTTCTCTATCTCCGTCCAGTACTACTTCAATTATCACTGCCAAAGCCATGCTGTCTGAGGTACTGTGACTTCATTCAAACCAGAAGTTACAGCTGCCTTCTCTGAATTTTCATACTCCATTCCTTTTACTTCTTTTACTCACTTCCCAAGTTCTATCTTTATGGTGAGGGACTGCTGTACAGCACAGAACACTCCCTGACTGTAAGAATCCTATCACATCCTCTTTGTGTCTCCCACAATGCCTCACATATTTCCATAAAGATCTGCTGGTTCATGATGTGGACACCTCAAAAGACTCTATGGAAAAGATAGATGCACCTTAAGAGGGAAAAAACACCTTTATATATGTCATTTTTTAAACTAGAAAATCAAATGTTCAAAACAACAATGCATTATTTCTTAAAACTGTTAATGTCTCTCCTTTAATCTACATCCAAGTATTTTCACATCTCACATATAGATCACCAAATGCTATGGCCTGAATGTTTGTGACCCACCTCCAACAAAACTCGCATGTTAAAACCCTAACCCCCAAAGATGATGGTATTAGGGGTGAAAATGAAAATGTACAGAGGTACTTAGGTGATGAGGGTGGAACCTTCGTGAATGGGATTAGAGTTCTGATAAAAGAGATCACGCAGAGTTCCCTCGCCCCTTCCACACATGAGGACACAGTGAGAAGGTGCCATCTATGAGCCAGGCAGAAGGCCCTCTCCAGAATGCAACCTTGCAGGCTTTGATCTTGGACTTCCCAGACTCCAGAACTGTGAGAAACAAAAATTTCTGTTCTTTGTAAGACACCCAGTCTATGGTACTTTGTTAGCAACCCCAACAGAGTGAGATACCAAACTTACCTCAAACAAGCGTAAATCAGCAGGAACCCTGTCCCCAACAGAAAGGCAAACTGTGTCACCTGGAACCAAGTCTCGTGCAAGTGTATGTTCCAGTTTTCCTTCACGGACACTGTAACATGAAACAGAAACAATCATGGCTAAAAAAGGAAGGCCACGCCAATGATTTTTAAAAATTCTCTCCAGTGGGCTTACCTGAGGGAAAATATACGGTATCATTGCCACTTCTAAGATGGTAAGTAAAATACAGGAACCAAGAAAAGAATTATTTTTGTGCTCTTGGTAACTAAGATGCTCAGGTAACAAAAAAGCATTGGAAAAACTGATCAGTTGTTCAAATGTAAAATGTGAAAACCAAAACAAGCTGAATCACCTGGGTCTGTCTGATTGTGCCTCACCACACCCACAGCAGTGCTTAGCATATAGTCACACACACAAAAATACCTGTAGGACAAACCCATGCCTCACAAATCTCAAGAATAGACCTTTAAAGTGTCACTACAGTACAACTTCCTACACAGGAGAACATGAATTTTTCATGTCAGATTAATGTTTCTACCTTATGTTTAGACAAATCAATGTATTCTGTACCAGTCACATTCTATTTCTACTTTTAAGAATAGAAATCCATACAAGAAACAAGGTTCATACCAATGGCATTCTGGTGGCATAAGTTTACTCAATTCTTCAAGAGATTTTTCTGAACGATACTCCTATTAAAAAAAAGGAAGCAGAATATTAAGAAAAACACTTAAAAAGAAATGCAAATATGTATGTTTCTATGAACATATTCCATTTAGACTTAAATATTGGTATCAATCATTTTAAAATTTCACAATTCTTATCTTTCCCTTTACTTTCACTGTTATGTTCCTAAAGCTTGTCTCTTGAGTAATGTTAAATTACAGTGACCAAACAATTGTGATAATATTTGATATTTAAAATTTTACATTTTATTATTAGTTACGCAAACTGAAGGCCAAGTCATTTATCGGATAATGAAGAAAACTTATTAGTGGATCCAAAAAGCATATAATTTTCAGTCATTAAAAGTTAAAATCATTGAGCATCATAATTAAGATAATTTTAATGTTTAATGATCAGAGAAGTCAAAGACAATTTGAAAGCAACATTTCTTTGAGGACTTAAGCTCATGCTAACTGCAAAGGTTTATAGAGTAACTCTTCCCAGAAAGAACATACATTAAACAAGCTGTGATATGTAGCAGCCCTACAACAGAACATCCCTTCTGTGAAGGACTAAGAGATTTAAACTGTGCCCCCATTTTTTAATAGGAAAATATCTAAAAACCTATTTCTGGATTTTATTTCTATTACTATGCTTTTTGTTTCTACCTGTTACAGTTATATTTAACACAATAAAAAAAAACTAGATTTTTTACATGCCACTACCTAAATCAAAGCAATGTAGTTCCACAGACCTCCCTAGAGAAACTTCTTTCTGAAATTATTTCAAAAACAGAATCAACTGTTGACTGACATTACCATCATCCAATAACTACAGATTTTACCACAAGCCACCTTAATATTTTTAAACAATTAACTAAAATACCATTTTCATGTAGGCAAAATAGACTACTCACCTGAACAAAGGCAACTGTAACAACGATAAGTATTGCCTAAACAAAACAAAGAAACAACCTCTTAAATTAGATATTCTAACTGCAGAAATAACTGCTAATCCTACTTTATTTTTCTGACTCTATCTGCAATCCCAAGACACCAGACACTAAACTTTCAGATCAGCTGGAAAGAAATTACAATGTTGCTCTGAGGTGTGGGGGCAACCACCAAAGCCCACAGTGCTCTGCCTCCCTGGGACAGCTTCCAAGCTTTTAGACCTCAGAATCTCTTTAGCTCTTACAAATGGAAAACTAGCTTTTCTTTATGTGGATTATACCTGCTGATATTTAATATTAAGTACTTTCTCAGTTACTCAGTTTTAATTTCTACTTATTAATGCATCTAAAAAAGTAGTAAGCCCATTTATATATTAACACATTAACCTTTTTATGAAAAGTGTATTTTTAAAAAATTTGTGAGAAAATGGCAGTTTTCAATTCTTCTCTTTAATTTCTGCCTTAGAAATCTGGATTTTCATATTTGCTTTTGCTTTAAATTTACTATAATATGTTGACTAACTGAATATATAAAGAAAATCCAGCCTCATGCAGATATTGGAAAAGGGAGGAGTATTTTTAAAGCTTTTTCAAATGATTATTGATATTCTTCTTAGCTACAACAAAATTAGAAAAGTGCTATAGTTATTTAAAACATAATAAAATGTAATTTGCAATGTAGTATCTAAAACTGTACCAATGAACTTTTCATAACCTGTTAATTAAAATCCATTACTCTCTTTTGTATTTTTAATGAATCTTTAATCACTGAAACTTGTTATTATCATACAGTAATCATTCAGAAAATATTGAATGGGATGGGAAAAAAGATGGCAGACTAGGAAAGTAAGGTGGAAACTTCCTCACAAACACACACTCATCCTGAGGAAACAACTCTAGCAAATACAAGTAACCCTGAAAACAACATGAAGACTGCAGAAAAGACCATGCACACATGGTGAAACAGAGAAAACCACACAGAAAAGGGTAAAGAGGCAGGACCACAGCTGATCCGGATCCAAGTTGTGTGCCCAGCCCAGCCCACAAGTGAGACAAAGAGGAATGGAGTAGGGAAGGAAAAAGCACTCAGGAACTCTGCACACCTGGCCCTAGAGATGTGCTCTAGGAACACGAGTCCACATTGCATTGGGCTTTGACAATTAATGGGGCTTAACACCAAGGAGAGTTGGAGCTCTTGGGGAGTCTGAGACTCCTGCCCCTTGTGGAGATACCTCTGGGAGTCAGCTCCTAGCACTCTTACCTCCTTGTAGACAGTGCACTGTGAAGGCTGCACACCTTGTTAGCCCAGCAGCCCACCATAACTACAGGACAAGATGGAGGCAACTCCACCCACAATGATCCCAGCAGAAACGCTACTGGTGGGCACACAAACAGCTGCTTCAGACAAAATGCCTGCTGCAGCAGACTTAGATAGACCACTGCTGTCAGACAGAAAGGCAGCTCTGCCCACTGCCCACCAACAGCAACTGGGGCTCCATGGCAAAGAAGAACTGGGCACTGGAGAGTAAAGGGTGTTGAGCTTCTGAACACCACAGAATGCCTTCTTCATAAAGTCATTACTCTCTAGACCAGGAAGCATAGCAGATCTGTCAACAAACAAAGGAAGAAACACAAAAAGACTGACAAAAATGAGGAGGCAAAGGAATATGTTCCAAACAAAACTATAGGGCAAGACACCACAAAGAGGGCTAAATGTAATGGAGATCACCAATCTTCTTGATAAAGATTTCAAAGTAACAGTCATAAACATGCTCACTAATGTTGGAAAAGTACTGAAGATCTCAGGGAGGATCTCAACAAAAAGAAGAACTGAAAAAGAGGACTCAGAGATGAAGAATTGAGGAACTGAAATGAAATATACAGTGGAGGGAATGAAGAATAGATCACTGCACATAGAGGAGCCACTGAGATGGAAATTACAGAACAGGGTCACAATGAATCTGAGGAACAGAGAGAAAAAAGGATATCAAGGAATAAAAGAATGCTAAGAGCTTTTTGACAACTCCAAACGAACACTGTTCAGAAAATAGGCGTACCAGAAAGAGACAGACAAAACAGTAAGTCTTGCTGAGGAAATAACTGTTGAAAACTTCAACAATCTGAGGAAGGAAATAGACACGGAGGCCATGAAAGTACAGAGAGCCCCTAACAAAAGGAACCCTAGGAAGACAACACCAAGACATATAATAAATAAATGAAAAAGACTGGGATAATGAGAGTATTGAAAGCAGCCAAAGAGAAAAAAAATATATCTTACTTATAAGGGAAACCCCATCAGACTATCAGCAGTATTCTCAGCAAAAACTTTACAGGTCGGAAGGAAGTGGCATGAAATATTCAATTTAATGAAACAGAGAGACCTTCAAACAAGAATCCTCCATGCAGCAAGATTATCATTTAAATTTGAAGGAGAGATTAAATATTTCCCAGATAAACAAAGGCTGAAGGAATTTATAACCACTACAAAAGCATTACAAGATATGTTACAGAGACTGCTATAGATAGAAATGTTCCTAAGCCTAAATAGTTCTTACCAGTAAACATAAACCCACAGTAAAGGTAGTAAATGAACTAATTACCAAGAAAATACAAAATTAAAACAGAAGTAGTAGAACAAATTATACACTAATTCAGTCAAAGGATACACAAAAAATACAGATTATGACATCTAATACATAAAGAGTTGAAGAGGAAGAAGAAAACAAGAAGTACTTTAAGACTGTTGAAAACACAGCAACCATCAACTTAATATAGACACTTATATCATTGGGAAGCTATCCTTAAGGCTTATGGTAATGAAAAACCTAAAGCCTATAATAGATACACAAAAAAATTAAAAGAGAAATTCAATCATGACACAAAAGAAAACCATCAATAACAAGATAAGAGTATAAGAGAGGAGAAAAAGAAAAAAGAAGAGCAATAAAAGCAACCAGAAAACAATTAATAAAATGGCAGTAAGTACAATACCTATCAATAATTACCCTGAATGTAAATGGACTGAATGCACCAATTGAAAGACACAGGTGGCAGAAAGGATAAACAAGACACACTTATATGCTGCTTACAAGAGACTCATTTCAGATCCAGAGATAAACAGAATGAAAGGGTAAGGGATGGAAAAAGATATTTCATGCATATAATAGGGAGAAAAAAGGAGTAGCAGTACTTTTATTAAACAAAATAGATTTCAAAACAAAGAAAGGAACAACAGACAAAGAAGGACATTACGTAATAATAAAGGGGCCAATCCAACAACAGGATATAACCAATATAAATTATCTTTGAACTCAAAATAGGAGCACCTAAAAATGTGAAAAAAATACTGACAGAATTAAAGGGGATAGAATGCAATACATTCATTTTAGGAGACTTCAACACACCACTCACACCAAAAGACAGACCAACCAGACAGAAAATAAGTAAGGAGACAGAAGCACTGAATAATGCATTAGAAAAAATGGACCTAACAGATATCTACAGAACGCTCCACTGAAAAGCAGCAGGATACACATATATCTCAAGGACATTTGGAACATTCTCCAGAATAGATCAAATACTAGGCCAAAAAAGGGCTCAAGAAATTCTAAAAGATTGAAATTGTATCAAGCAACCTCTCAGAACACTATGGAATGAAACAAGAAATAAATTACAAAAAGAAAACAAAAAAGCCTACAAATACACAGAGGCTGAACAACATGCTGCTACTAAATGGTCAATGGATCAATGGCCAACTTAAAACATAAATCAAGTGATATATGCAGACAACTGAAAACAAAAACAGCAGCCCAAAATTTGTGGGAAGCCAAAAAGTACTAAAAAGGAAGTACATAAAAATATAGAACCAAGAAATAAGAACAATCCCAAAACAGTCTGAACTCACAAAGAAACTAGAAAAAGAACAAATGAAACCCAAAGTTAGCAGAATGAGGGACATAATAAAGACTGAAGCAAAAACAAGATACAGAAGAAGAAAACAATAGAAAAAAATCAGTGAAACCAAGAGCTGGTTCTTTGAGAAAAAAACAAAAAAAACTCACAAGACTTATCAAAAAGATAGTACACAGATAAAATCAGAAATGAAAAAGGAGTCACAATGGAAGCCACAGAAACACAAAGATTACCAGTGAATTCTATGAAAAATTATATGCCAATAAATTGGACAACACTGAAGAAATGGACAAATTCCTAGAAAAATACAACCTTCCAAAACAAACCCAGGAAAGATCAGAAATTTTGAACAGACCAAATACCAGTAATGAAATTGAACTGGTGATGAAAAAACTCACATAAAACAAAACTCCAGTGCCAGATGACTTAACAGGTGAATCCTACCAAACATTTAAAGAGAAGCTAATACCCATCCTTCTTAAAGCATTCCAAAAAGCAGAAGAGGAGGGAATATATCCAAACTCATTCTATGAGACCAGCATCATTCTAATACCAAAACCAGACAAAGACACTATAGAAAAAGAAAATTATAACCAATATCCCTGATGAACACATATACAAAAATCCTCAACAAAATATTAGCAAACCAAATTCAAAAATACAACAAAAGGATAATCCATCACGACCAAGTGGGATTTATTCCAGGGAACAAGGATGGTACAATTATTCGAAAAACAATCAATATAATAATATACCACCATAACAAAAAGGATGAAAACTATATGATCACCTCAACAGATGCTGAAAAAGCACTTGACAAACACTTCAACATCCATTTATGATAAACATTCTCAACAAAAAGGGTATAGAGTGAATGTACCTCAACATAATAAAGGCCATATATAAGCTAACACTTAAGATAATACTCAATGGTGAGACTTTTAACTTTTCCTCTAAGATCAAGAACAAGACAAGGATGTCCACCCTAAAATATTTTCTTTAACATATTACTGTACATGGACACACCAATCACACTACACAAAGGCCTAAAAGGAATCCAAATCAGTAAGGAAGATGTTAAACTGTCA